ATCTAAAAGTCGACTTTCTGAAGCAGACGCCGGTTAGCGAGGTAAAACGGGCAGACAATCTGCTGTAAATACTTTTTAAAAGATGGCACGTGTTACAGATTGATAAAAGCTACTTTTACGCGCCATATATGAACACAAACCACGGGATTTCGAGAAATTCGCATAATTGCTCATCCGTGTCATCGTAATTACATACGAACTATTCTGATTGGAATGTCGGCAGACACTTGCAATGCATTCTTTTGAGTTACGCTTGTTTTTTTTTTTTATTTGTTTCGATTTTCCGAGATAAAAAAAAAATAAAAAGAAGAAAAAAATGCATTGTTGGAGGCGGAAGAAAAATTTTGTTTTTTTAACTTTTTTTATCAGATTATCAAGATTCTGATAAATTTGGTACGTATATAGTGCTTACCAAAGAAATAAAAATGAATTTCATCGCAAATTGTATATTTTTTTAGTCATAAATATATAAACGCACTCGCTCACATTTTGTGAAAATAAAATTGCATGATAATAATAGTGTCATTGTTAAATTACAAACATAAAGTCTATACTTAAGATGACCTCAGAGAGGTGACTCGCCGCGGCTCTTCAAAAGACTCTTTGATGTTTACAAACATGTTGTCCATGCTATTTAATTTGAAACATCAAAGGAAGTGTCGAAACTAAGATGACTTTCACACATTGTTCTATTACTTTATATTTATAAGTGAAGAAAAGATTAGGCATGTTTATTATTGTTCAGGAAGATGTGGGATAATTAGTGTCAATGATCGACATTATAAATCTTGAGTGCTTTTGTTTATCTGTTACATTCATATAATTATTCATGTTGTCAGGGATATGCATGTTTAACCATAAGTGGCAAACTTTTGTAAAAGGTTAAAACATGATGATGATCAAGATGATAATGATGACGACGACGATGATGATGAGGATGATGAATCAGATTACTTTATATAGTTAAATCAGATTTAGATACACACAAGCACTTAAGGATATCATAGTAAATATTGTTTATACAGAAATAAATGATAAATTTGTATAAAGATTTGACTCTCCATTCAGCAGCCACCTGTCTTAATCAGTCAAATTGAATGCGAATTGCATTGGCTGGTTACTTAAGACAATATTGATATGCAATGTATATTGAATTATAACTCTTTTTAATAATTCTTATTAAGAACATGCAATATTTTCAAGAAAGAATTGTACCGTGAAGATATATTGAACTGCTATGTTTGTTTTGTTGTAAATTATAATTAATACTGTGTAAATAATGTTAATAGCATAGAAAATTTTTAATTTCATCATAAATACACGTTTGTTTTCGAGTTTCGGGATGTCACGATATTTAGATTAAATTGTTTGTAATATTCTCCCCCAAAGTCATATCTAAAAGAATACAAAAAAATTACTCTGGTTCCAATTTTAATTAAAACACTAATAATAAATTTAATCATTAAAATATGACCGACCGTCAACTTATAACGTTTATGTTACAGAATCTTACTAATGCTGTAATGACTTTGCTTAGTTTTTTTTAAAAGTATAGCTTTTTAAGCATAAATTATAGCTTTGCTTCTTGAAATTTCTTGAGGAAAATTTGTAAAACAAAAAAAGTTCCTGCAGTTATTAGTATAGTACAAAATAAGCTTACAGGTCCGATCTGTCAGGCTCTATACTGTCGATAGCAAATATGTATTCTGAAATGATCATCCCTTAAAGATTATAATAGACCGTCCCAAATTTTAAGACTCAAAATCAGTTCAAAAGTATAGTAAACCGTCCCCAATTTTAGGACTTAAAGTCAGTTAAAATATAGCAGTATTGATAATTATATTAACATGCATATACATTGTATCTGTTTCGGGGCACACCTACTACAATCACTGTCGTTCTTTATTTGTCTAACAGACACACTATTTAAATGATAATAAACATAACTGTTCTTTACGTTACGTCATTTAAGCTTCAGGTAAATATTGTTGATTTGTCAGAGTTTGTTGTTTAAATCAGTTTGCCTATTTTTGCAGTAGTATGTCAATGCATATTCTTCTTTTAATATATCCTGTATATGATGTTGTTATATATGAGTTTAACTTGATGCTACAAGAACGTTTTTCTCACTTTTTTATTTCTTTCTAAACAAATTTCTTATTTTTTTTTAATTTCATTTTTACGTTTTCGTTAAATAATCTACTCGACCTATGATGACAGCATATAATTATGCTTAGTTAAACGAAAAATGAAAGAACAATATTCAACATTTAAAGTAAGCAGAGGGAATAACTGTATACATTACAATAAAAACTGATTTTTAAATATCGTGTGGTTATACGTGTTCGTAAAATTGTTTGGCACAGAGATGTGATATTCCATTAACTTTCAGCCAACCTAAAACTGACTTACAAATAATGAGTTAACTCACTCTGATGTATTTAGTTAAGTTTATAAATGCATTACATGTAAGGTACCATATGAGTACCAATTATAAATACATGAAGAATATTTATGAATAAAAACATTATTAAATAATATTGTTACTTTAAATTCAGTGATAAAAATATTAACTAAAACAGCGTTGTAACACCGCAAAACGTTCGTACCGCAAAACGTACGTATATGGACGTTTTGTGGCGCATATCGTCCACATTTTTCTGGCGTACATTTTGCGGCAAAAAGGCATGGTCCTGCATAACTTTCATGTTTTAAAGTTTATATAATTATCATTAATTCTGACCAGTTATTATCAGGTGTTAACGCGTGTTAATTTTAGCTCACCTGAGTATGCGCCTGTCTGTCTGTCCGTCAAAATTTAGCTTGTTACCTATCTAGCATCCACATGCCCTAGGCAATATGTCCAGAGTTATCTGCCCTTGAATTACAATATCTGTTAAATTTCACATTGTTACCACTCCAACACTTTCATTTTTTCTTCAATCTTGACGATTTTCAACAGAATAACTATGACCATAACATCTCCGGCTAGATTATAGGCTAAATCTAACAAAAAAAACAAACAAAAAACGCGCTATATTTCACCTTGTTAGTGCTTTCGTGTTTTCTCCATTCTTAAACTTTTTATACAGAATATGTATTACAATATGGTCTTGATTAAGTTCATTTATGAGCCAAGAGGATTCCCATTCCCATCCCCGCTCCCCGCCACAAAACCTATCTTGTTCAATTATTACTAGGCGACTTAAGGCCCTATATCCATAACAATGTAGCTCTCTCGCTCAAATATGACTTCGCTGTCAAAAGCCTCCATCCATCCCCCGTAAAAATGAACGTAGAACCAAACCTCCATAATCTACAAGAACACAAAAAATCATTCCCACTTCTTGATGCAATTATATGAAATGCTGTTGTCAAAAGCAAAACTTAATTTTAATTTTAGTATTTTTTGTCATTCACTCAGTCCAATCCCCGGTTTGTCCGTCCGTATAGCCGTCGTTTTCTGTATGTCTATAAGATTACATTTATTTCAATATCATCGTTTTTGTATCTCTGCTGCCGGTGGTTCTGCTTGGTTCCATTTCATAAAAAAATCTATTCGAAAAAACATCCTCGGCATAAGCAAGCATATAGAATGTTTATTTTGTCATATCTTTACCTGAAACAATATAAAACCAATGAAAGTAACGTTTATAATGAATATATTTTAATACAGAAAATATGGACGATATGCGACGAAAAGACACACTCCCGCCGCAAAACGTACCTAGTACGATATACACCGCAAAACGTCTACATGTGTACGATATGCGACGCAAAACGTCCACACGCATACGTTTTGCGGTACGGAAGTTTTGCGGTGTAACACACCGTACAAAGGGTGAACGGGGTAACCAGGGTAAAATGTGTAAAATTTCAAATACACTCAAACTGTAATGGCTTAATAAATCACTCCTGAAGCTTAGTAAAGACTAACAAAAGGGCTACGATGGCCCTTATATACCTCACATTATTCTCATGTTTGTAACTTAAACGTTCGTTAATAATATTCAGGAAATATTATGACAAAATTATAATGATGTAATCTCTAGTGACATTGATGACAGACTGCAATGTCAAAACAGTTATTTACAATTGTCCGTCAGTGATTGTAAAGTTCTTGTAGATAAAAATATATTCAAACAGGATTTTTTAGTTGTAGTTGAAAAGACCTTGCAATTATGTGCATATGTGTGCGTGCGCATTTGTGCGTTCATACGTATATTGTATGGATGAAAGCGGGGAAAATAATTAACCTGCCAACATTCAACAATAATTTTAAAAACACACACAAAAAATCGTTCGGCTGATAAGATTCGTCAAGATTGACTATGTGACTCAAAGCATTTCTTTTAATATGTCAGCTTCAAGTTTTTCAAGTGTTTAATCCCATTTCCGTTCAGCCAAACTGATTTGTTTATTTGTTGTTGGATTGTTTTAATTTTGTTCAAGTATAATGATAGTAGACAGTTTTCAGCTATATCAAATTCATAGTTAACGTGCAGGTTCGAAGACAAGTATTTTTCTCCTAAAAAAAAGTTCAAAATAAGGTTACATACTGAATCTTATATTTGCAGTATTGTCCGTTTTAACACACTTTTTCATTTTAAACATTTGTAAAATGTAATAAAATTTATATAATCATTCGATCATTGAATTAGTATCACATCGCAACATTTACAATATACAATTACTGACAAGTGAGCCATTGAATATGATGTGATATTCACCGGCAGATAACATATTGACCGAGGCGTGGACCGTGAGATTACAGCTATATTTAGATCATATAATAATACCATATATTATCTGATCGAAATACTTAATCGAATGTTACGAAAAGTATTAAATTTAACAATTGTCTAGGAAGCTTCCACTGACTGTGCGCATAAAGATAAATTCAACGGAAACAACAAATACAGATGATTTGATACTGTCTGTCAATTTTACATAAACGTAAAACGTAATTGGACGGAGTGGCCAATTCCCCGAACCGGAAATAGTTACTAACACTTGAATTTGTAGTCATATCTAAATGAAGACTAGCTTTAAGCAACGAATTATTTTTTAAATATATAAAAGAGATACAAATTGTTTTCTATAAATATGAAAACGGATACCAATATTAAAATGTTAAGGATTTTCTATAAACTGTCCTTAATATTTTTTGTTATATCATCAACCGTTATCACACCCGGCAACGGTAAGTTTGACTTTAATTCTATTTATGAATTAAAACATGCAATAATTATATAATTTCTTTAACATATAGTTAAATAGATTACGTAATGATATTACATAACTGTTCTTTTTTAATTAGGAATGAGATTTTGCAAAAATATGTATTTCCGGTTTCGTTTTTCATAGAAATAGCAAGCACTCGTCATCTTTTATACCTTTTTTAATGCGTTTATTTAAGGTCGCCGCCGGGCGACCGTACACTCAAAATTCTGGAAACAAAGTGATCCCTCGGAAGCAATAATCACAACAAAATTACATAAGAATTGCAGACTCGGTTTGATTGAGTCTGTAAACGAGAAATAATGAATAAGTGCAACATCACTCACGCCTCTTAGCACCGGCTTGACCGGTACTCAATTCTCAAAACTTAATAGTGCTGGCATCAATGATCCCGAAGGACCAGAAATATAATAACACTGAAGTGTAGTACGGGGCAACTTTTTACAGCTGCCACACAGCACTTGACACCTGCTGTTGTGAAGTACAAAATTCTGGAAAAAAATGATCCCTCGGAAGCATTAATCACAACAAAATTACATAAGAATTGCAGTCGGGCCATCATAGAGCGTCCCGCCGAGATTTTTGGTCAAGTTTTTCCAGCTTTATTGGTGGAGGAAGACCCCAGGTGCCCTCCGGGCATTATTGCAGGCACGAGCAGGCAACTGGGTAGAACCACCAACCTTCCGTAAGCCAGATTGATGGCGTTCTCACATGAAAGATTTTGACCCGAGTGAGGATCGAACCTACAGCAGTGAGGGACCTGTGATCTCAAGTAAGCGACTTTAACCACTCGGCCACGGCACAGGCGGACCCCAAACAAAAACAGGACAGGGCACAATAAGTCAATGAATTAACAATTTTCATTTCTTGTTTTACGAACTAAGGATGTGCTTCTTCAAACTTTAAAATGTCGCATTATTTCTTTTCTCTTGACTTTAAGATTACAATAATCATAACCATCTATTAGCAGGGAATATTGAGTATTGTAGCACAGCTCAACTACTTTCCATAGCCATGCACTGTAAGAACCTGAAATGTATTAGCTCCACGCTGTAAAAAGCTGAAATGCAATAGCTAGGCGCTGTTATAACCGAAATTGTAATAGCATTAAAATAAAAGTTAATAGATTGGTGTTGTATCAATATTTGCTCTGTTACATGCTTAGTATTAGTATCGAGCGATTAAAGTTTGAACTGGTGTAGCTTAGTGGTTATACCCTGAATTGTTATAGCCCTGGCGCAGTAACAACATATAATTATTATGATACTAGATTCGTAGTGTTAAATGTTCGGCCTGCATTATTTGACGTCTTTTTAACTGATAGCTTGAGGTTGTAACAATCTAAATTGTAATAGCTTGAGATATGTACTGCTACGACATGTATTTTAATAACTTGGTGCTGTAATTATCTGTATTGTGACAGCTTGGTTATATTACAAAATGCACTGTGATGATGACGATGTATCAACTTGAATTGTAATAATCTTGCGCTGTAACTAAAAGACTTTTTCTAACTAATTTAAAGTAATTGACAGTTTAAGATGAAAACTGAAATGTTTTTTATTTAAAAGTGTATTTTGTTATAGGAAGCGGAAGATGTTACTGCAATACAGCATAACGCCAATTTTATGAAAAATGAACATAAAGTAAAAGCGAATTCTAAATTCAACATATATGTTAAATCGTGCATTTTTATTGCGTAGAATGTAATGGTATTATTTTATTGTATAGGTGATGATGGTTTGCGTAAGTGTGGCATATTGAAGCTTGACAAACCCACAATACTAGGAAGGAATGTGACATTTTCTTTTACCCCCGACATGTATGATCCAAATGCAATTCTAGAATGGCAGCGCCGCACGTATGTAAGAGATCAATGGCAAACGCTCCCCTTTAACAACAAGTTTACACAATATGAGAAAAATATGACTTACCACCTGATAATAACATACAGTGAAGAAAGCGATGAAAAGAAATTGTACCGTGTTCATTATTATAATGAGACAATACATTGCTTCAAGGACGTTGGGACACTTAGGCTTGAAGGTATTGAATAATAAATATTTTGCTGTAATATCTGTTTTCTTTAAAAAAAAATGTATCTCAATTATTATAAGTGAATGAATACTCTAGCCATAATCACATAATCAATAATCACAACATGTTATTTACATTATTTTATTATAATTGTTTATTAATATCAGAAACTGGATCTGTTTTCGATTGATTTTGTCACGGGTCGTTTTATTTATTATATTAATTGTTCATTTTGCCCTGCACTGTTTGTCATTTAGTCGCGGGAAAAGTAATCTAAATGTCCGCGCATGCGTCGATTATCGTTGTGTCCTTTCTGCTATTGTATTGTATCGGATGGTTCCGTAACGTACGCTTATTAGCGGAAATTCACGGAAACAGCCGGAACAATTCAACTATGTCTGTTTCTCGTGCAATTGTGTGAACTGTTTTTGTATGTCCAATCGTGTTGTACGTTGTATGAAAGAGATTTGAGAGAAAGTTTTACATAGGTTTTTAACATTTTCTTTCTTCCAAATTCCAGCGAACTTTCTTCCCCACTTAACTTCGTCTTTATTCTCTTACGAGTTAAGATATACAATCATACTTACATTAATTCTTTAAGTTTATTTAATAGAATTTTTGATAGGAAATAACTTATTATTAAGTTATTTACTTTATGTATTGAGACGTTGTGGCTTTTTCTTCGTATTATATTAAATTGTCAAACCTACGCAAGGAGTTTAAATACATTATTCCCTGTGACAATTTCTATAATGAATTAATCATGGTCGGAACACCCACGAAATGTTTATATCAACACAAATTAAAATATTATCAGGCTTATTATATTTTATCTAAACTTATAGACAATTTGTGTGGAGTCGTCAACCTCAGATCTGAAAAGGTGGTTGAGAATGGGACCGTAGAAATCGAATATTATCCGTCAACTAATGTGATGAGAAATAGTGGTAGTTTCAAACGTGAATGGAGACATACGTTCGGAAGGGCAAGCCAAATATTGAAATTGACTGATGGCAATTACCAAGAGACTTTCGATGAGGAAAACAATAAATATGTATTGACAATATATATGTTTAACATTTCTATGAATGGAGAATATTATGTTGATTGTGGCGGCTCTGGAGCATTATACACAAAACATATAACCGTGTACTTTCCAGGTTTGTGTGTGTTTATTATTCTGCATGTTATATCTATTAAACAAATTGAAACCAAGTTATCAGATCAAAATCACCAGTGCATGACAAAAGTATGAAAGACAATTTTATTCACGTGCAGCGCCAGCCAGCAATGTTGTTTGCATCAATATGAGGACAAGTTTGATTCTTTAAAAAGAAGCATGCGAGAGGTCTTTTTTCTGTTGTGGAAGATCTGTTTAAATCGAAAAAATTTGGGGATATTCTTGCATAAAAGACACAGTGAGTAATTATAAATTACAATTATTTAACAAAATAGAATTTATTATATATATTGAATATAGTATCATTTTGAAAGTTTGTTTTACACTAAGTCTTCATTTTTTAAATGTTTTGAAAGATTATATGCCAGAGAAATGTACTTTTTTCTTGGCGCATTAGGGATAGTTTTTCTACAAAGAGAACAAAATTTAAAATGAATTATATATATATTAAAAGTATTTAATTTATCCAAAAAAAAATTGTGAAATTCAATAAGCAAATTTAAATTTTCTGTAAATGTTTTTGAAAGTATATGGAAACATTTCCTCTACATTTTCCAAAACGGGCATAAAGTATGTTAATCAAGCAATTTAAGACAATGATTTACATGAAAAATGTTTATATAATTTTATTAGAATTAAACAGCATATAAAACTGCATGCCTCCAACCACAATATTTGACGAAAATTAAACAGTAGTAAAATGTGTGCCATTTGCGCCAAAAAAACCTGCGTTGCGTTATTTAGTCATACCGGTTCAAACGTTTAAGGAGCAATAAACTTTCGGTACATTGTTCACTCGGTCATATAATAGTGCATGGTGATAGTGTAGCTAAAAAATTCACTGTTACTATTTATCAGAACATGAAATATTAAAACGTTATTCAGAAAACAATACAATAATGGATTTATAAATTTTAAAACATTAAAACGGAATCAAACATCCACGTAGCGCTAACTAACGTTAATGATATTTTCCGATTTTTATGTGTACCGATTTGTTCACTTTGATGTTAATTTTTTGTTTAAGTTAAGTCGTATATTTTGAAACAGAACATGCACAAAACCATTTTTTAGACTGTTCCTAATGAATGTACGCTTTAAGTGAGATTCATTCACTACAATCAGATACGCAAAAATGGATGCCGCCAAAAGTCCTGAACACTGTGGAGAGGACTGACCTCTCCAATAATTTTAATACGTATTTAAATGTAATTAGAAACAAAATATGCCGATATTTTCAATATATGAACAGGGAAGCAATGTTTGTCATCAACTTACAATGATTTTCAGTTGTAAACTTTATTAAAAGTTTTAACTACAGTATTGTTTTTCAGCTTGATTGATGATAAATGAAACAAATTTATTAGGAAAATTGGGATAATATCCTTTTTAGTAATCTTTCTCTGAGCGTAAGACCGTACTATTCCTCTTCTTTCCGTGATGTTACAAATGAAATATCCGCCGATATGACAAGGAAAACATCAGAATAATTGCAAATGATTGTTTTCAGTATAAGGATTTCAAGAATTTGTCTGAAAATATAGGTTGATATAATAGCGAGGACTTTTCGAAACATTTAACATTTATAAGAAAAAAAATTTTAAGTGTAATTATCATAACAAGTTATTAATTCAGTAAGATAAAATGTGAATGTTTTAATTGATGATAAAGTTATTCTACAGGTGACTATAGTTTAAATAAGTGTGGTCAATTGAGTATTGACAAACCCACAATATTAGGAAGGAATGTGACATTTTCTTTTACACCCGACACGTATGATCCAAATGCAAATCTATATTGGATGCTGAGCATGAATGGAATAGATCATTGGTATGGGTTCAGTTCAAGAAATACGAGAACAACATTTGAGAAAAATATGATTTACTATCTGATAATAATGGACAGTGACAAAGACAACGAGGTATTTTACGCTGTTCATTATTCTAATGAGACTGTAACTTGTACCGCATACGCTGGGAAATTTACGCTCGAAGGTATTGTAGAATTAATTTGGTTGCTATTATATTTATTTTCTTTAACGTATCACAAGTAAATGAATACACCAGCCATAATCAATAAACATTAAATTTTATTTGCATGTATCTTATGTATAAGCCTATAGCTAATAGACATTGGATCTGCGTTCCGATTGATTTTCTATTATGTATTATTTAACGTCGGAACCAATAGATGTTTATATAAACACAAGTTAAATTACTATCTGCCTAACTATAGTTTACCTTAAGCTATATACAATTTGTGTGGACTAGTCTTCCTCAGATTTGAGAAGGTAGTTGAGAATGGGACCTTGGAAACTGAATATTATCCGTAAACTTATGTGATGAAAAATAGCGGTAGTGTCGGACGTAAATTGTTGCATGTCCTCGTAGGGACACACGGAATATTGAAATTGGCAGATGATAGTTTTGAAGAGACATTGGGGCAAAAGTAAAAAAAAATATGTATTGACAATATTCCGGTCCAGTATTTCTATGAATTGGAATGATTGTGTTAACTGTGGCTATGGAGCATACACATATTTTATAACTGTGAAACTATCTGGTTTGTGTGTGTGTTTCCAAGCTGAAATATTATTTAAGAACATCAGAACTTATGCAGAAATACAGTTTGTATTTAAAACAAATGTACACTGAATTGCACTTCTTTTGCAACATTTTATAAATATAAAATATGGTTTAAAATGTTATTCTCAAATTTCTTCGGAACTGCACATGAAAAAAATGAAATCATTTGTCCATGACTGGTAATTAGTTCCAAACGATGATTGTGTATGTATTCTGCTTTCTGCACGAGGAAAGTGATGTGAGCTTAATATATGATTTTTTTTATTAATTTAAACTGATTTTAGCAAAACTGCAAAATAAAACTTCTATCACGTAAAATTATTTACATGTAATTCAAAACTGCGCGCTAGCGTTATATAATTGCTCTGAAATGTAAGTTTCTGTTCAATGTCATATTACTCATTGAAAGGTAAAACAAATTTTCATTCTAAAACATATCGATGGGTAAGTGGAATAGGCCCGTGCGCAGAAAAATTCCTCAGTGCAACCGTGGACGAAACCGGAAAAAAGTGTCAGGCCTTGGTGCTTGAATGGACAAACACTTAAACAAATATCTATATGGCTCAGTATAGATTATATGGTTGCATATTTCTGCCACCAGATAACCATATAAGTAACTAGTTAATTAAGAGGTTAACTAGTTACATAAATAGTTAACCTCTTAATTAACTAGATAGTTATCAGGTTAACTAGTTATGTAACTAGTTAATCTCTCAATAAACTAATTAGTGATCATGTTAACTAGTTACGTAACCAGTTAACCTCTTAACTAACTATAGTTAGTTATCAGGTTAACTAGTTACGTAACTAGTTAACCTCTTAATTAACTAGTTAGTTATCAGGTTATCTGGTGGCAGAAATATGCCACCATAAGATTAGAATATATATTTCATTTTGGACTTGAGCATAGCTACTCGTACTCGCATAATAAGCATATAAGCAGTGAATAAGTATACAATACATTTACAAATATTTAAAAAGAAAAACTGAAGAAACATATACATATCTTTCAAAGCGAGAGACAGAGATGTGTGAAAAATATCCCTTCATTCAAGGATATATTACGTGATTTTCTCCTGACGTAAAAAAACAAATAATGTCATAAATAAATTTTGTAATTATTTTCGCGTTTTTATGTTTTATTTCTTTTAGTTTTGTCTTTTCTGTTTAAAGAAGTTCAAACGAAGGACTTGTTATTATTATTATTATTATTATTATTATTATTATTATTATTATTATTATTATTATTATTATTATTATTATTATTATTATTTTCTTTATTACTATTATAAAAACTATTATTATAACTAACTGATGACAATGAAATGGGCAGAAAATACATAAGAGTTGTCGGGTTTATTTGTTGTAAAGTTAAAAATAATGATTGCCCAATCTGAATATTTATATATTTTGATAACGTAGGTGTTGCATTAGAAATGTCTTTCAGTGTATACAAACATTTAGCGTTTTTTTTTTCTATATGTGTATTGCTATAATATTGGTTTTAGACAAATTTCCAGATATTTATAAAACAGTTAGATTATAAATGATTGATTATTTTTTTTGTATTTTTAAAAATTGTATGCATAATTTTCAGAACCACCAAGTGAACCTATAATAATTGGATTACAAGACATAGAAAACTGCACTGACTGTATTGTTGGTGAGGATCTGGAGATGTTCGATCTTGCCTGTCAAATACATGCTGGTTCCCGTCCTATAACTGTTACCATGTCAATAGGAAATGAATCACACACCCCTCACAAAATAAATTCAACAACCTATATGGTACTTTTCACAGTTCGGGACCGTCATCACATGGAACATGTGACATTTTCAGTCATGAACGATTTATTATCGTCACCTTTAAATGTTACTGCTCGGATGTTTGTTATAAGTAAGTACACTATGCTAATTTATATGTATTTAAGATAGTCTGTTTGAATACTGTTACTCTTTGTACAATCACAATGCCAAATGTAACAATCATGTTTTTTACCATTTTGTTGTATGTCAATTTTTTAAAAAAAAAGGAAAATAATATTTACCTGTGTAATATCAACAAAATGATTTGTTTTATTTCGTCCCATACATGTTTAAACGTTTGATATTAGTGTTTTGTTAAATATCATAAAGCCTTTATTTGTATATTTACAGAATCACCAACATTTCAATTTTCGGTGCCGGAAATTCTAAAAGACGGAGAAGGTGTCAGCATCACATGCACGATGGATGACGGAAGACCTAATCCGCATGTGTATTTTAACATTTCCGGTTCAGAAGTATCGTCTGCAAACTCACATTTTTATAATTCGACTACATCTTTAAATACCAATATTATCACTTTAACCACATTCAAGAAGGAATGGAACAAAGAAAGCATCACGTGCTGTCGTTATAACGAATGGTACACAACTGTGCGGGACTGTTCACCACCAAAACAAGTTAATTATCTTTGTACGTTTTTTTATTTTTTTCCTTTAGATTTGTTTAAAATATTGAGTGTACTACATTATTTCATATTTCATTTATAGTCTTTTAAATAAATTTTATTAACATATTTCATAAGATATAGATGTATACCATTTAAGCTTAGTTTATCGTTTTGTTTAGTTCCTCCCACAGATGTAATGTTAGAAGTCAAAGTTGATGAAGACAGTCTGAGTCAAATGTATGCTACTTGCACAGTGTATGGCTCGAACCCAGTCTGTAGCGTTCAGTTTAAAGCTACAAGCGGTATCATCGGATCAGAAAAGTCTTCAGAGAACATAAGTCTACCCCACGGTGCGTGGAATTCTGTGTTTGAAGTAAACTTGAATGTCAGTGAAGAAGACAATGGTAAAGATGTAACTTGTGTCGTTGAGTGTGGCGAGTTTGCTGTTAACCTTACAGACACTGTCAAAATACTCATGCCGTGTAAGTTTTTTTCCTTTTATCCATTGTTCATTTATTTCATGTTTTAAAAGAAAAACATGAATCTTATAAATGCATGCAATATCATAAGTCATTGCAATTTTAATAAATGAGAGATTTTTCCAGCAACTTTTGTCAAGCCGATCTTATTATGTCAATTACATGAATTACAAGTTTATTTTTCATGCGTCGATCTTGATAACTAATGAAATCTACGGTCTTGTTCAAAGTGTTTGAATTACAATTGCCCGACGTTGCAACACGTTGGAATATCAAATATATGTTATTATGATAGACAAAAAAGTTTAAATCTAAAGTGAAAAGTTTAAATCACAATTTTCAGTGATACATCACATGTATGTTACATTGTATTTGCTATAGAAGCGTTTACCAATTTTGTTTTAAATGTATACATGTATACTTATACATTTAATATATATTGAATAGAAATTTGTTGATAAAAAATAATTTCAAAATGTTAAGAATTGTAAACTGATTTTTAAATTCTGATTTAAACGTAAAAAAACAAGTCAAACAACATTTATATAAAATAAACGAACGTCTTTAAAACTCTATGTCAGCCCCAAAAAATTATAAAATAGGTCCCATTTGCAAATGAAAATCACTATTGAGTTTATATAGTTTTTTATTATTAGAATCAGCTTAAAGCTCATAAAAGATAAAATGTCTTGAATGCCTACCAGAACTGTAGTTGCTGATGTTGACGAATCACAAGTACAGACTTGTTGATCATCAGTTATCCGTCTTCGGTTGTTATTTCACTCTGGCGATAAGAATAATGAACCGGACAGAATGAATAAAAATGTAGCTTTTCGAGTTTATAAAATATATTTCCCTGTTTTTTACTTAACAACGCAAAACGTTTTGGCAATATATTGTCAATGCATGTATATAGTAATACATAACAGGAAGCATAATAATAATAATACAAGGCACTGAATGGCATGGACAATGGTATACACAGAAGTATTGTTATATACTCTATTAAAGGTAATTAAGATTTCTCTTTTTATTTTCTATTACAGCAAAGCCAGATGATAAAGAGACAGGCGATGATATGAGTACACCAGGTAAAAACAGAAAGATGTTCAACATTGGTCTATATGTGTTACTGTTTTACCAACAAGTGTTGTCCTTAAAGTTCGTATAAAATCCCAATTATAATATAAAGCAATATTAGCATCTTTGGGAAAACATTTGTATTAACTATCGAAATATCTAACAGCACGATAAATTGCATGATAAATACGACGCAAGTTTTTGGTTTATTTTAATTTTCTACTTTAACAATCGAATTTCGCTAACCGTCGCTTGTAAGAAAATCTTAAGGTTTTCTTCTACAAAACGAGCTATATTTTAGTGTGCAGTCAATAAACTGGTTCCAACTACCATGATTATCCGCGTATGTCTCAAGGTTGCACATTTAAAACTTTGGCATTATTCACCACTGTGTTCTTAAAACTAAGCTAGTTGCAAGGAAAGGGTAAACAAAAATGACGTAATTCCATGTTATAAATAGGAATTATGCGTGTTTATGTAAAATCAATTTAAATAAGTTAAAATAAGATAAAAAGAAAACAGGGAAGGACGACGTGAATGCATATGCGTATGTCATAAATCAAAAGATGGAAGGGGCTTTGCAGACGAGTTTCGCGTGAGTAGATCAACACTTTTTCATAGCGGCACTGTGCTTATTACAAAGAGACAAGCGGACGAAAGTGTGTTTCCATTCATACAAATAATACATAAGCATAGAATATTGACAGATAATCTTTATATGTGGACGGAACAGGAAATGTAGTGCCTAGGCGGGATGAATGGTATTATAGAACAGAACAGAACAGAAATTTTATTAAGACTTGTACAAAGTACATCATCTACAATACATTATATTCACATATATTTTAACTGCATGAAAATTTACAAACAAAATCTGGATATCACATTTTACGTATTCAATAGTTTCATAATAAAATATAAGTAGATAAACTAATAAACAAACAAACAACATGCATATAGCTATGAAAAAAGATGTGCATTTTCTGTATACTTTTATAAATAAATAAGATTAATTATGAATATTTTTGGCATGGAAACAAATCATTTGGAGAATGAACATTGATTCAATTCAGACATTATTAGTTAAAAGTGTATAATACCTAATGGAAAGAGCTTCTTTAACAAATTTTGATAAACGTACAAGCTCATTTTTATTTTTCGAGTTTAACAGTTGAATAAATTTGTATACTGATGGATTTCTGTAATAGTAAGTTTTTAAGTGTTGTTTTCTTATAACGTCATAGCATTTACATATACAAATAAAATGGTATTCATCTTCAATATCTAGATTATTGCAACACAAACAATATCTTTCTTCGCGAGGAACCATATTTCTACTAAATCTACCTGTTTGAATTGTAAGCGGAAGACCATTCATTCTTAATCTACAAAAATAAAATCTAAAACACCTAGGTAGTATATTAAGATAACATTCATATTCAAAACAAGATTTAACATTTCTATATATACATAAAACAGGACTTTTTTCAAGATTACTGAACCATTCATTCTTGCTTGAAAGAATCAATAAGGCGACATTTAAATTCTGATAAAAACATAACCTTGTCTATGTTGTTACAATTATCAAAAATGTATGAAAATCCATAGTTATTTAAAATATTTTTAACATTAGAAACCCAATTTGTCTGCCCTTTATTGCTTTCTTCAAGTGCTTGGGTATAAACTGTTTTTAATATTATATTGTCTGTATTTACAAGTTTTAACCAGAATTTAATAATTCTTACATATCTATGAATATAAAATGGATATCTTCCAAGTTCCCCATATACACTAGTATTACATGTATTTAATCTAACTTTTAACAACCTTTTACAAAATTTTAAATGTATTCTCTCAATTTCCTTAGATTTAGAATAACCCCAAATTTTTCACATGAATAATTTAATATTGGTGAAACGAAGGCATCAAACAACTGACATAATGTTTTGGACTAAGATCAAACTCTTTACATTTACATATCAGTATGTTCATTGATTTTAAAGCTTCTCCCAATAAAATGTTCTTGATTTAGAATAAATTTACCAGTATAGTTAAAAATAGTACCTCGATATTTTGAAATCATTAACAGCTTCGATTTCTTGGCCATCACAGGTCCAATGCTCAGATGCTAAAAGTGCACCCCTTTTTCGAAATACCATAATTTTGTTTTGAAGGTATTAACTTTAAGGCCCCCAAGTATTACAATAAGACAATAAGAGATTCAAAAGAGTTTGTATTTCATCTGGGTTTTTTTACCTATGATAGCCATATCGTCAGCAAATAATAAAAGAATTAAAACTATGTCATCTAAAGTAAGACCTGCTTCAGTTTCAGACTGAAGATATAATTCAAGGTCTTCAACAAAAAGAGAAAATAAAAGAGGGGACATAACTTCCCCTTGACGAAGACCTACAGCATACAGAAAATAATCAGAATAGCTAGAACACGACTTAACACAAGATTTTACTTTCTGATACATATCACGTATTATACTGAGTAACTTCCCTTGAATTCCGCAATTGTACAATTTAAACCAAAGGCCAGTTCTATAAACAGAGTCAAAGCATTTCATCATATCGACAAATATAACTTACAATCTTTTATTATCATTTAAAAATTTCTGAACCAATGAATTAAGAATAAAAATAGCGTCTAAAGTGGATTTTCCCTTACGAAATCCGAACTGTGCATCAGAAATAGTGTTGTGTTCATTACAAAATTTTTCGATTCGTCTATTTATAACTGTAGTAAATAATTTTGACAAGCAACTTACAAGTGTAATGCCTCTGTAATTATTAACGTCATTTTGATTCCCTTTTTTAAGCAGTGGGATAATTATACCTTCGGTCCATTTATCAGGAAAACAGCCCGAGTTTAAGATACAATTAAATAAGTCACAAATATGAGACGATAAAATATCAATACTTTCTATAAAATATTCGTTCAATAAACAATCATTACCATAGGCTTTATTACGCTTCAGTGATTTAACAGCCGATAAAATTTCAGAACAAGTAATAGGCTCGTCTAATTCAGGAAAAATGTCATTAGTATTTGTAAAATCATTATTTTCACAAAATTCCTCAGCTTCAGCGTTGTAACACTCAAAAAAATCATTACTTAAACTAGAAAAATATTCTCTAAATTGTTCTAAAGTTATTTTATTATCAACCTTTCCTGTTTGCTTTTTAAAAAATTTCCAAAAATCTTTCGGCTTACTCTTTTTCAAATTTTCTATTTCTTGCATTTTCTTTCTATAGAACATATTTTTCTTCTTTGTAATAACAGATTTATAAGCAGATTTATGGTTACACAAAATTACTCTATTTTCATCCGTTTTACAACAATTAAATGATTTTAACGATTCTAAATATACGTTTCGTGCATCGATACAATCCTTATCAAACCATTCTGTGTGCTTCATATATTTTTCTGCATCATAATAATGAACATTTCTATATTGCAAATTATAAGAAAAAAGAGGATCTGCAAAACTCCGCATTGTATCTGTAAATTTATTCAATGCATCATTAACAGATTGTCTACTATTACAATCTAATGTATTAACAATAGTATTAAAAACAGGTAAATTTACAATTATGCCAGAACGAAATTGTTGCTTGAAATCATTGTCCCACTTAAATTTAATCTCAGAATGACCTGCATTATTATCGTGCGTATTATTACATACAAGTGACAAGGTCAACGGCGCATGATCACTCCATTCATTAAATGAATGTATAGTAAAATCACTGATCAATGAAAAATTGCGTTCGTTGCATAATACATAGTCTATCACAGATAAACCGTTATGAGATAAAAATGTATAGTAAGTAAGTAAGTAAGTAAATTCTTTATTATAGTGACATGTGTTATACGTATATACATACACATAAATACACAAAGATGAACACCCGGCCCATAGGACCTATAAATCACCTTAACAAAAGATCATATTCTGAGCATGTATTATAGATTTTAACATGTTATTAACATAATAGTAAATTCATATCAATACATGTTATGCATTTACGGACAGTTCAATTTCAATTAATCATGATCTATTATACAATAAATCTCTCCTTAACAGATATGCTTGTACAATAAATTTAATAACTTTATTTTGATGGTTGTTTACGAGGTGAACTAGTTTTTCATTGTCTGCCATTGTATTAAATAAATTGTTTGAAATAACATTTCCAAAAACAACAGTTCTTATATCATTGTAAATGGGACACACAACAAGGAAATGAGCTTCGTCCTCAATTTGATTTGTTTGGCACAAATTACAAAGTCTTTGATTAGGCAATTCTCCGCTATATCTACCGGTTTCTATTCTTAATGGTAGGATACCACATCTAAACTGCGCGTATAATGAGCGTTCATTTCTTCTTAAATTTAATAATAAATAATTTTCACATGTGAAGGATGTCTTAAATAATGTGTAAGTTCTCAGTTTTGGTACGTTTTCACAATCAGTAGTCCATATGTCTGCGTAATATTGAATCATTTTTGAATTGGCACAGTCCATATTGATGGCCAATTTATTTTCGAAATGATCACTGAGGTCTAATTTCGTCATTATATTCTTCACTTCACTGCACCAATTATTTATTGTATCACTTTTCTCATAGTCACAGTTGAATGCCTGTTTCGTAATCCTATTATTAGGTAACTTCACAAGTCTATTCCAATAACGGATCATGCACAACCAACGTCTGTAATTACACGGTATCCAACCTGTTTCACCTGAAAGCGCAAGTTTTGGAGTAAATCTATGAACTCCCAAGAAATAGCGAATGGCCCGGTTTTGTGTGTTATCTGCCGATTGAAAGTTTCTATAAGTGTTAGTGTTCCCGATACGGCCATTAATAATACGTAAACATGATGATTTGCAAAGATCTAACAGTTTAATACCATAATTGTTATGTTTACTATCTATTGTGGCCCTGCATGAGGTACTATCGGGTTCATAATCTATGTCATCAATGTTTTTGTTTACTTTATCATGTACAATGAAATCATTTTTTTTGCCTACCCTACTGTTAAAGTCACCAAAAAGATATATAGAACCAAGACTTTCATAAGTAAATACATCGTTTTCTAATATTTCAAATAAGTCGGTATTAAAAGTATTATATACAGGTGAATTTTCGCCCCAAATATATACACCACATAAATATATATCTTCATCAACATTAAAAAAGTACGATCTAATTTCAACCAAATAATTGTATCAAAATGATTCTGAACAACTTGAATTCCTTCTTTTAAGTGTTCTTTATAATAAAGCACTATTCCGCCACTACATCTGCGCGCATTCTTATTTTGAAACTTTCGAAAAAAGTTATGAGTGACGTAACCATTAATAGAAATATAACTGCATATTATAGCATCAATGGTATTTTAGCATGGTTGTCGAGTGAGAATTTCTTTAAAACAAAATACGGTCGCCCATGTTGGACTTTTCCATCATCACACATGTACAGACTCAATGAAACTGAGTCTGCAATTTTCATGTAATATTGTTGTGACTTATGCTTCTGAGGGATCACTCTTTCTCTTGATTTTAATAGGCTGTTATTTGTAAACCCACAACATTAAATCGTGCGTGTAAAGAAAGAAATATTCATTACCATATGTAAAGATTTACATAAAAAATGTAAAATCGCTGAGACAATACATTTTTATATGATAACAATTCATTTTTATATGATACATACGAAATATTATGTTAACTATAAGGACAGCTGTCTTATATTTATTATGAATAAATGTCTTACACTGTTATTTGTAACGATTTTGACCTTATGAGACTGACTATATATATATATATATATATGGTACTTTTGGTACTTTGTAATTCTAATTTGGAAGCAATTACGAGTGACATAAAAAGACAAACATATGTAAAATGCCTCCTGTTAACTTACTCATATGTTATTAAACTGCGTTTACAAAAATGTATTTTCTAAACCCTTAGTAACCACGTGAGCTTAATAACAAGAACTCGCATTTTTATACATTACTCAAATTCACTTAAATGAATGGGTACAGTCTCTTTCAAACACAGCCTTTTCTCCAAATATATCAAACAAAGTTTATATAAACAATTTGATCATGAACAAAAGAAAGTAGTGTCTTAATATTAAGAAACATCATTAAGTTTTTGGCTAAGTGCATTGATATATAGAACAGTAATCGTTTTTATGTTATTTTTATTACAGACAAAAACGAAACATGTGAAGCTTCAGGAGCTGTAATTGGGTCTGTGATTGCTGCATTAGCTGTTGGAATTCTTATTGGTGTGATTTGTACCTTGATTATTCTTATTAGAAAAGGAATTATTGCAGGTATTGTTATAACATCGTTTTTTGTCATTTATAAAAAATTATCTGAGAAATATGGTTTATAAGCACACCTTGTAATAGATTGATAGTCATCGATAATACATAAAACCATTTTACAACGCTGCATTATTTTAGATCTTTTAAAAGAAGTGCTTATGCTTTTATTTAATGACTTGTTTCCATTCTTTGTTGATGTTTATTTTAATAATTCTGTAATGTAACAATTACAATTTGAAATAAGAAAATGTGTGATGTCTATAAATTATGTAGCTATACCGGTTGATTTGTTTTATAATGATTGTTTTTGCAAAAATGATGTAGAACACATTATAATTGTGTTATTATGTAAAACAAGTTATTGAAAACAACATAATATGTTATGAGCTTTTTACCGTTTTAAGTGGTAATAATTCTACTTTTATCAAACAGATCTCATAATGGTTTGTCTTGAACGATATATATTGCTTGCTTATGTGCTTTAAACGTTCATTAGTTTATTAAACTTTAGACGCAGTAACCGCCTAGAATTTAAATGCTTTACTATGCTATTTGATAACACAGGCTCGAAAACGCAGCAGACAGTTTCTCATGAAATAGAATTAACTGGACCACCAACTGCTCTGTAAGTTACGAATGTTTAAAATGTATTTCTTGATATAAAATTACAAATGTATTTCGTTTCTTTTCCAACGACTTTGCTAACTAAGATAATCTGATTTTATATAAGCAACTGAAAATCATGATTTTATAATTTGTCATAATTATATGAAGAATCAATTCAAAAAATAAAAATGGTCAAACTAGGCATTGTTGCTGCATATCATCCATGAATCTCATTCGCTCTCTGACGACAATGCTTAAATTGATAACTTTGACATTGAAATTTGACTCGTATTTTGAAAATCATTTCTACTAGGGATACCTACGAGCAACTTCAAAACAGAACAGATACTGAAATCAGGGGAACTTATGATTCTCTTGAAGGTATGTTCAATTTTATTATTTATTTCATGTTGTTATTTATTAAACATGTTTTTAATTTGAAATAATTACTTTTGGTATAATGATATTTCAAATGAATCTGTATAATATAGATCGTGTAGCATTGTAAAACTCATATACATGTATTTTAGCATAATATGTCCACTAAAGTATTTTGATAGTTTCTAATGTAAAGTCTGACATGAATTTATGATGTATACACAGCTTAATTGCTATTAAAATGAATGTTATGGTTTTCTTAAAAAAAATAACTACCAGCCGTCTCTTTTTCAGTCAACTCCGGAGTACAACCAAACAGGTATGGAAATCATAAATATTTACACAAGTATTTAGTTATTTCTCAGATAGCTGTAATATAAAATATCCAGTTATACAAAAATTGATAAAATTGGTCTTTTTACAAGAAATGCTCTTCATAATTATAATGATTATACTAAATTCTAAGCCCATTATGTATGACTAATCTACGGGAAAGTATAAAGTTCATTCTTGCCTTTGTATGGCCTTATTAGTGTAGCTAATAATTCAGCTGGCTCAATGCGTTCAAATTATTTACAATGCCTGTTTAACAAACAGTACAAACAAATAATATGTCAATGATATATTGTTATAGTGCATAGTGTTGACCAAAGACTGTAAACTGAATGTTTGGCATAATCATGATAATTATTGTTATTAGATCTGCATTTTTACATGCTTATTGTTTGTTAATTTTACTTAAGCTTTTAAGTGCTCATTGTTAAATGTTCATTCATATGTCTTTTTTCAGCCAATTACAGTACGAAAGTCTGAATGAGGAAGCAGAGAACTGTCACACATATACAGATCTAAAAGAAAGCCAATAAATTTTGAGAAACTACTTGAGAGAATTCATCTTGAACGTTCTAGTGTGTTCGGAAAACAGAAGGATTGTTTGTAATATTTGCACTTCTGTTATTATAATGGAAGATGTCCTTACAAATTGTCGCATTATACATAAAGATAAAAGGGTGACTTGTGTAATAGATGAAAAAAGGGCTTTGCATGCTGTATTTATATATAAAGGGAGATGATTAAATTCAATACAGTTGCACTTTCCCTTTCATGGGATCAGATAAAGATACAAGTGTGCAGGTAAATTGTTACAGAAATACACATATACCACCAAATCGATATGCCAGTCAAATTACGAAACAGCGCGTGAAAGCAACGGACTAGCTTTATATGTATATAACGGTGTCTTTTGGGAAAATATAAAATAGAGAGAAATAAATAAATTCTGTTTTAAGGACGGGTGTTTATTGGCATTTATTTTACTACTTGAATTATTCAACTTTATTTGTAAATAGATAGATTTTTTTTTATTGAATTTTCATACATTTGTCTTCACACTTGTATAGCGAAACTAGTATCGTTTGCTAATTTTGCTTAAAAGTGTCCGTTTTGTTATTCTAGTGATATTTTATTATAATTATTATCTTACATTTTCTGTAAATAAGACATGAAACATTTGCATTCACTTATTACCTGTGTAGTAGTATATGTCAGAATTTCTAAATTGTTGTTCGTTCACCAGTTTATTCATCCGTATAAAACTTATATTAGAACTTGTTGGTAAGATATGAATGTACCTGTGCTTAAACTTTTATGTGAATAAAGACAGAAGACTCATCAAATACCATTCTTGTAAAACCCATAGAGTAATGAGTTATAGTTTCAATATTGTAGTATTATGTTATGATCTTTTTTAATATTATATATATTTTTTCCATGCATGTTTATTTGAATAAGTGTTGCACGTAAACGGTATTGTTCGTATTAAATTTAGTTTGTATGCTTTATACATGTATATTGTACTCTTTCTAACAATTTTAATTAAGGAGGTATAAAAGAATTCCAGCAACAAACAAATATTGCTTTATTCGATTTCAATCATAGCTAATATGTATGTAGTATATCAGGTGAGAATACTTGAATCTTAAAGGCCGTTTGTTGTCGCGATTCTGGTGTTTAAGAAATTTAGAGATACCCGTTGTTGTTGATTTTGTCCACAGTTATATTTCAAAGAATACAAGAAGGTTATTTCGGTTCCTAAAAACAACGGGTCTATTTGGAAAGTAAGGAAAATACTGTTTTAAAGACTGGTGTTTTCTGGCATTTATTTTACTACTTCAATTTGTCAACATTATCATTATTTTCAACAAACTTATATTATTTTTTATTAATTTTGCTTAAGCGTGTGTGTTTTTCTATTTTTTTCTTTTTTTTTTTTTAATTTTATTGATATGTTTTGATAATTATTATCTTACATTTTCTGTAAATAAGACATGAAACATTTGTATTCACTTATAACCTGTTTATATAATTATCAGAATGACTGTATTGTCTGTAAAACCCCTGTCACACTAGGAAGGCGTTCTCACGGCGTCCATTTAAACTTTAACGCCGAGGTGAACGCAGTAAGATCACAAACACCGCCGCAGCATCGTCGTAGCATCGTAGTGGCATCGCATAGAACGCCGACCGACGGCGCGCATTTTGAGCATGTTCAAAACAAACGCCGTCACTCGGTGGTCTGAAATGTGCTCAGTGGGATCGCAGCAAGGACGCCGCAGCAACTCAGTAGCATCTCCTACAACGCAACAGAAGCGCCGTGAAAGTGCAAAAGAACGCCGAATGAACGCGGTGGTTATCCCTGGCGCTTATACGGAGTGTGTGCGGCGTCTTTACCGCGCTTATAATGCGTGTGCATGGCGCTTTTAGAGAGCTTTACGATTTCAGCGCAGTGTGAATGCCGCGAGAGCGCCGTAAAAGCGCAAAGAACGTTGTAGAAGCGCGATCCGAACGAAGACAATCGTCAATTAAAACGCCGTAAAAGCTCCGTAGCATCGCCATGATCGCCAAGGGGACGCCGTGATGTCTCCATGAAGTCTTCATGTCATCAAAAATATCACATTTTTCATTGCGATCTCGCGGCGCTTTGTTAAATTTTACAACGCCGTGCAAACGCAGTGAAAGCGCAGTCTGGTGTGACAGGGCCTTTAGTTAACTTTGTTATTCATCCGTATGAAACTTCTATAAGAACTCGTTGGTAAGATATAAATTTAACAGTGCCTAACTTTTCATGTGAATAAAGACGTAACTATAAAATATCATACTCGTATAGCCCATGGAGTTATACGTTCAATATTGAATTATTATGTAATGACTCTTCGTCATAATTTTATACCCCCTGGCGTCCGTCTGTCCGTCCGACTGTTAGCAATTTGGTTTCCGGAGCATAACTAAAGTTCCATTTGGCCCACAGTATTCATCATTCATAGGATATTTGCCCATATTGGGTAGAAGACCCCTATTGATTTTGGGGTCACAAGGTCAAAGGTCACTATTATTTGAATACTGAAAATGGTTTCCGGGGCATAATTTAAGTTCAATTTGGCCCACAGTTTTCAAACTTCAAAAGATGATTGTCTATATTGAGTAGAAGACCCCTATTGATTTTGGGGTCACAAGGTCAAACATCAAGGTCACTATTAGCTAAATATTGAAAATGGTTTCCGGAGCATAACTTAAGTTTCATTTGGCCCACAGTATTCGAACTTCATAGGATGATTGTCTATATTGGGTAGAAGACATCTATTAATTTTTGGGTCACAAGGTCAAAGGTCAAGGTCACTATTATTTGAATACTGAAAATGGTTTCCGGAGCCTAACTTTATTTCCATTAATTTGGCCCTAAGTTTTCAAACTTCATAGGATGATTGCCCATATTGGGTAAAAGACCCCTATTGATTTTTGGGTCACAAGGTCAAATGTCAAGGTCACTATTAGCTTAATACTGAAAATGATTTCCGGAGCATAACTTCAGTTCCATTTGGCCCACAGTATTCAAACTTCATATGATGATTGTCCATATTGGGTTGAAGACCCCTATTGATTTTGGGTCACAAGGTCAATGATCAAGGTTACTATCACCTTGAAATTGGAAACAGTTTTCGCTCAATAACTCAAACCTTAATTAACCTGCAGCTGTAAAATTTTATAGGATAAACAGCTTTATACCCCTGACGTCTTTTCGTCCATCCATTGTAGCATTTTTACTTAGAAGATAACAACTTGATGGTGGTGCTTTGAAAACAGCAACTTTATATATACATGAATGTTCTTCAGCTTTAAAGAAGGGTTTCTTTTTGAAGGAGGTAATACTGTATTTAATTCCAAATGATTCATCCTAACTAAGAGAAAAAGTACTTTCGGGCATATAATGCTCTGCCTAGCGGTGCTCTTTTTTATATATTTTGACATATTAGTTTATTTGAACAAGTGCTTCGGGTAACCGGTATTGTTTGTCTTAAATTTAGTTTGTATGCCATATATGAGTTATAACTATTCTTAATAATAAGAAACATTCCAGCAACAAAACATATTGAATTGCTTTGTTCGATTTCAATTAAAGTTGATACATATGTAGTTATTATTATAATTTAGAATTAACCGTTCGTAATGTTTATTTTCGAAAGTTTTTATTTTTAAGAATACAACAAATTTATGTCGGTTCCTTAAATAGCATCTCAAATTTGTTCTACACAAATTACAATGATGATTGACTCTCACATTTATTTAAATTATGTTATACCATCTTATCGATGTTGCAATGACATTCGAAAAGCCTTTTTTTAAATTTCGCATTTTAAGAATAATTGTATAGAATTTCTAGTTTTGCTTCTTAAAAGTTCTTGAGGAATGTTTGTCAACTGTTAAAAATGTCCTTGCTATGTTAGTATAGTTACTTTCTCCATAAAGTATTAATTCAATTCAGCCAACTTTTCTTGAAATAATGAGCCACACTATTCTAACAAACAGTTTTATGTTTTTGTTGCTGTTTTTTTGTTTTTGTTTTGTTTTGTTGTTTTTGTTTTTTGTTGTGTTTTTTGTAAGACTTGTTTTTTTTTCATGTTAAACTCAGATTCTTCAAGTAAATTGGAATATAATAGAAGGCCTTTGAAAATTTGTATCATATATGTCAACAAACCACAAAAGAATTTTATATTTATATACGAGTTATGTTGGTAAGTGTGTGATACATGTTCCAATATTACATAGCTATGTAGTATAGCAAGTGATAAATTGTTTTAGAACAAAATATATTTATTCATAGCAAATATATGTTGAAATAAACCACTTATATCTTAAACGAACTATTCAATAATATTTTCTCAATGCTATATTGCTACTGATTTTATTAATTATATTTGAAATAATTATAGAAAATGTGTCTATTGTAGACCATTTTACTTTAGTATTATTACTCATTTTTAGTTATTTTAACACAATTTAAATATAGGTGCATGAAAGATTCTTATAAAGAAACTTATCAATTATTTGATATACAGTAGACTATGAAAACTTGTTTATTTCAAAATAATATCTGATGTTTTGTGTGACCTTTTAAACCTGCTGACACAAATATGACTTGCCTAGAGCAAGACAGGCAGTCTGGTGCTATACTGTTGATAGCTAATATTATATATTCTGACATAGAAATCCCTTTAACTTTGAATAATCTGTCCAAATTTCTAAGGTCTAAGGGAATGTAATTGTTTATATCATGAAAGCTTGTACATGACTCTTTTGAGAGTTAATTTACAAAAAGAAAAAGATTCTTCTTCTAAATATTATATGTTCTGACATAGAAATCCCTTTCACATTGTACAAACTGTCCCAAATTTTAAGGGAAATTCAAATAAAGTATATAGCAGTTTAATTGTTCATCATGACTAAACAATATTCTTATATGAACATATTTGATTTATTATCTATATATTAAGCGTTACTACTGAAATTGATGCCGTTCTCTGTTACAGGGAATCAACTGGACAGTTCTACTTGTTTCGTCATTGAATATTTATGTCAACATAATTGATTGCTCACATTTTGTATTCTTAACTATTTTTAAACTTTTTATTTGATTGTATATATTATGTCATTGTGTGTATTCTTCTTATATAATACAAAGAATGACGTCATATTAGTAATTTAATCTTATATAATATATGTTTTATCAGATACTTTTAAAACAGAAGAACGAGAAGCTCTAAAAATGGAAAATTTTCATTTTCTTTAGCGAGATTCACTGGCCCTTAGGGTTGATTGATATCCACCATCTTGCTTTATACATGTTATATAACAGAATTTGTCAATACAGAGAATAATTTAAATCTTCTTAATCCGTATTACTTTTTTCATATTACTTAGATAACATGTATACATATATCTGTATAATTAAATTATTTTGTGTCAAACGTGGTCTTGGAAAATCTCGCAAAAATGAGAACTTGATTGATAATAAATCCTTGACAATGAATTACGCTCAATCGTTCATAAGGATGTATACCTAATAATAATTATTTAAAGGATTCTCTATTCTAATTTCAGTATTGACGTTTGAACCAAATTTCCTATTACTGTCAAACAATGTTCGACTTTATAATCTTTCAAAAACGGCTGTAAAATCAATTTGCTAAGTTTACAGTTAGATACATGATGAAAATTGACCACTTTATATTCTAACTTCTGTAAATGTTGATACTAACATTTTTGTTTATAATTTCGAGCTCATCTATAATTACTATGATAAATGTGAGTGTCCGACTGATGAATGAATGAAAATACAATGTATCCAACCTTTACATTCAAGAATACATATGTTGATTTTTTTTTTACTTTTTATCTTTTTACTTAGTTATTATTTTTTTGTAAGAATTTTAATTTTGTACGGATCTACATTTTTTAGCTCGACTATTCGATAAGAATAAGTAGGGCTATTGTAGTCACCCGAGAGTCGGCGTCGGCGTTACCACTTATGTTAATGTTTTTGTAACAGTTCAAATATTTTCAAAGTCCATTGACATATGGCTTCGAAACTTTGCACACTTGTTCACCACAATGACCCTAACCTGTAGACAGGAGGAGGTAACTGTATCAAGCATTTTCACAGAATTATGCACCTTTTTCGACTAAGAATTTATGTTCAAGTTTTTGTTATAGTTTAAATATTTTCAAAGTCCAATGACATATGGCTTTGAACTTTTACACACTTGTTCATCATCAGGACCCCAACCTGTAGACAGGATGAGCTAACTGTATCAAGCATTTTCACAGAATTATGCCCCTTTTTCGACTTAGAATTTATGTTAAAGTTTTTGTAATAGTTAAAATATTTTCAAAGTCCATTGACATATGGCTTTGAAACTTTACACACATGCTCACCATTATGACCCCAAGCTGTAGACAGGAGGAGGTAACTGTATCAAGCATTTTGACAGAATTATGCCCCTTTTTCGACTTAGAATTTATGTTAAAGTTTTTGATAGTAAAAATATTTGCAAAGTCCATTGAAGTCCATTGATATATGGCTTTGAAACTTTGCACACTTGTTCATCGTCATGACCCCAACCTGAAGACAGGATGAGGTACCTGTATCAATTATTTTGACAGAATTAATGCCCCTTTTTTGACTTAGAATTTATGTTAAAGTTATTGTAATAGTTAAAATATTTTCAAAGTCCATTGACATATGGTTTTGAAACTTTACACACTTGTTCACCAGTATGACCCCAACCAGTAGACAGAAAGAGCTAACTGTGTCAATTATTTTGACAGAATTAATGCCCCTTTTTCGACTTAGAATTTACATTTATTTACATATTCTATTGACTAATTTTCATATTCTATAGACATCTGGCTTTGATACAAGTTGAAATTTTATACTCTTTTTTGAGAGCATAATAGGACTCTCGCCATGGCCTATAACTGTAACATGGATTTAAAGAAAAAATTTGCCCTTTTGTTAACTTTGAAAATTTTACATTGTCAAGGCTCTTTTACTATTAAGCACTAAGAATAGTCGAGCGTTGCTGACCTACCGACAGCTCTTGTTTTCTTTGTCATTGTTAAATCAGAAGGCCGTACTGAAAATAAGTATACTTTTTACTGTGTAAACCAGTAAACTTTGTATGTTACCTTCTATAGCTCTGTGGTTTTATATGAGATATTATTATATATGAGAATTAGTTCATGCTATATGTTACCTCTTTCTAAATAAACTTTTCTTTTTCTTTGAATTTTATACGTTGTCATCAATGTATCTACTATACTGTACAATAGTCTGTCCCACTAAATTTGAATATATTAACACTGACGTCAATATCTTCAGGCATGCTTTACAATTTTTATATAAAGTCGTTAAAATGGTCAAAATGAAAAACTTTCACATTTTCCATTACGTTATAAGCTGTCGTGACGTCCATTTCAAATTGACGACCCCCATACCGACGTCATTTAGGGTTCGTCTCACAGTAAGCGAAAAAAGTTATTGGTAATTATAAACATTTGCTTACTGAGCAATTCCTTAATGTTATTGTTAAATTGACAAATAATAAAATTTGAATTTCTTAATGATGTTCAAAAGATTAGAGACTCATATACTCAGAAAAAATAAGCATCGTATTTTTGTGCTATTTTGGCCCGAATTGTTAGAACGCGTCTCAAGTTTGGACCATTATTCACAATAATTCTAGCAAAACGGAGAGAGCAAATGATCTGAAATTTTGAACAAAAGTACTTCAATTCAGTGTTGTTATATTTTTGGTCCTTCGGGATCATTGATTCCAACACTTTTAAGTGTTGAATATTGAGTACCGCTCAAACCGGTGCTAAGAGGCTTGAGGGATGCTGCACTTCTTCATTATCCCCCATATACAGACTCAATAAAGCCGAGTCTGTAATTTTCATGTTATTTTGTTGTGATTTATGCTTCAGACGGATCACACTTTTTCCTGATTTTTATTGTTCCAGACTTTTTCAAATGGAACATTCATCTCGGAAAGTTATTTCTAGTCTCTTCAGATCAAAAGCACTCAATGGATATTTAAAATATCCGTTTAACAATCATACTTCAATTTGTTCAAAAATATCAAATTCATTTCTATCAACATACGACGGTGAAAATGTAGTCAAATGTAGAATGGTATAAACAAAACACAGATGTATATAAAAATTGAAATGAAAAAGAGTTTTCATAACCCCAGGCTTTATAACCTCATCCCCCTTCAAATTCCATTTTGTTTACTTCCGCCTATTGTTTTCTCGTTTAGGGCACACGCTTTCTATTACTTGGGGACCATACACCGCTATTCACGCTATTTCATTGAAGGTTCCATTATAACAGACTTATGAACACATCTGCGGCTGTTTCTAAATTCAAAATTTCACCATTTTCATTTTAAAATATTGAATTGAATTCTGCTTAAGCCGGTGCATAGGGGGCGTGGCCGGTGGTTTGCACTTGACAGTACCGTCTATGAACAGGCTCAATCAAAGTGAGCCTGCACCATTTTCAATTTTGCCGTTTTTGGGTTTTCTTTAGGGATTCTTATTTTCTCTATAGTATAATTGTAAAATAACTTATTCACATTTACGGTATTATTTATGTGAATCTTATCACGTACGTTTGTCAGATAATAAATTGATATACCTCCACTATATCGACCTGTGTTTGTTGCCTGTGATTTATAACACAATAAATAGTATAAAAAGCATCAATATCTTAATTGTAGTGCGAGTTTTTGTTCATAATGTACGAACTTGCTTGTACAATAAGCAACTTGGATTATGATCAACACTTCGTTGCTCTTCACTTTTAAACAAAACTCAGCCTTTTATTAACCGGTTCTTCATACCTATGTGTCTTTATCGGTTATCTCAGTTACATTATAAATATTCGTACTTTGAGCAAAAAGAATTTACCATACAGTCTTTAACCCTTTACTGAAACTTAAGTTATCTATCACCACTACGTCATAACCAGAAAAAAAAAAGATTTATGCTGTTTATAGATGTATATAGCATTCAATGTGACTGTCACATTGTAGCTTGCATGATAACCGCCACATGAATACATCTGCGGATGGTTCAAAATTCTAGATTTTACCAGTCCATGTTAGATGTTGAATTCGGCTTAAACATGAGCAGGCTCAAACAAACCGAGCCTTCAAAATTTTCAATTTGTCGTTTTGTGCGATCTGTAGGGATTCTTTGTTTCTTTCTATTTGTAAGCCGTAGCCAATGCGTGGAATGTAACTTGCAATTCTCACAACGCTCAATAAAACCGAGTCTGCAACATTTTAAATTTGGTCGTTTTGGTCCTTTTTATGGATGATTTTTTCTGTATTTTTGCTATTCAAATACAGACTATTGCTTTTAAACTTACTGTTTGCACCTAGTGATTTTGTTTGATATAATATGCATTAAAATGACCGATTATATCTATCCATTGACAATTGGTCAACTGTTGAAGAATATAAAAGGACATTTTCATTTGCTTCATTGATAATTGATTATTATTTCTTAGCAAAGAAACATTGAGCACAAGTATGTCAAAGGTCAAGTTATTATATATTTTTACCTTCTGACGTTCTCACCAGGTTTACTTGGATGGGAATAGTATCACTTTACAATCTAGTAAATGGATGATCCATAATAACAATGAAAACTACATAATAATATGATAAAAGAGACTGTGTGTCATGTGCAAGACCTAGACCTCTGCCACCTAGGTCAAAGTCTAACTTAGAGGTCAAATGACAGCATTGAGAGATGATTTTTTCCATAACTTTGTCGTGCATCAAGGGATTTTAAAACAACTTGGCACAAATGTGTAGCATGATGAGACAACGTGACATGCGCAAGACCCAAAGCCTTTAGCTCCCAAGTCAATGTCTCAGTCAGCAGTTAAAACAGTCTTCTCTTGTTCATTTCTCTACTATGTGTAAAAGAAATATAACAAAATTGGCACAAATATGTTTTATGATGAGACGGTACGCAAAACCTAGACCTATACGATTTATATAGGAACGATATCACTTTTTTGCTAATAAATATTTCCTAATGTTGAGTAAGGAGGTATGCTATCACTCTGTGTAAGAAAGCACAAAATTCAAAAACTTAATCATTCATATTGATAGCAGGTTTTGGATGTTTTTCTTTTGCTGTTGGTTGGAATAATAACAAACAAATTTTTGAATTTTGTGCCAGAAAAACATGAATCAAACAGAATCAAACATGTTCTTTAATTGTAGAGAAATCAAGTTCTTTAATTGTAGACAAATGAATCAAATTTACACATTTACTATAATTATCTTTATTATTGATTGTATGTTCTATTTATAATTGGTTTACAAGCTAATCATCAAACTATCATTTTATTGGAGAAAACAAATTGCCAGAAATACATCGTTCAACACATGTTTCATGTTTTTGAAATATAATAAACAGATTGTATAGTAATAATTATTTCTTGCATGTGTGATGTTTGCAAGTATTCGAAGCTCTGAGTGGTTGAAAATTTAGATTTATCTTCTTTTTGTAGTTGTGGTTCTCTGTTTGAAAATTACATGTCGATGTTGTAGTTTTGCATTTGTCCTTGTCAAAGTCCATTCGATACCATTGATTAGACAACTGTAAAAAATACAAGACAATTTATGAAAAATTACCAAACAGTTGATTTGATATCTCGTAATTGGCAAAAAAGAAACAGCAACAATAACAACATTACACAAAACAAAACACAACAAATAATTACAAGACATTGATTACTTAATTTACGTACATATGGTCGGGCGTTCACAAACGTACGCTCTCGACAGCCAGCAAGGTATGTCGTTCCATTGTCCCAGTCCGAGTATCTCAACACAGTCTTCCCCACCCCCGCTGTTACTTGGCTGTCCGTCATACCAGTTTGTAAACGTCGCGAGATTTCCTGATGAAATCCAGACATGCACGCCTTCAGTATCTATATCATTTAATCCAATATGAGCTGTCAGAAAAAAATAAAACAATATAACACATAAGAAGAGCAAATGACTTTATTTAATACTAAATGTCCTAGCATTATTGAGATTCATGTAAAATATACAATACACAGAACATTGATGAATTTGCTCATAAAACAGACCCCTACTTATGTATTTCCCTTTTAAACAACGACACTCATTTACTCTTGCTTTACAAATGATAGGCAGACATACGCATTAAAAAATTTGCAAAAATAATAAAACTTTACTTCCTCCTCCGCCAAGTGATTGTACGAAGTCGTCCTCTGATTGACTTGTTATCTCCACAAGATGTCCTCCCATAGCAACACAATCATCCTGTCAATATTATTAAAGATCCTGTATCTTGTAAATAAGGATTTAATATACACTTCAGTGAAGTTTTATACATTTAATTTCTAATTACTTCCCTTTATATTCATGCAAATACCTTACAAATACATATAATGCTTTTTGAAACTAACAATATTGGTAAATCATCATTTTAGCATCAGATTTATGATATAAAACTATAAAAACAATGCGGTACAGGGTTTTTAAATAAATACATGTAACTATCCAAACTTTTTGATATTTTTGATATCTTATTTAAAGGAACTCCACAGTGGTCTGAAAGAACACAAAAAAACATAAGATTTGAATTTCTCTCATAGATCAGCTTGGGCACTAAAATCGGATGATTTGTAAGGGCTAACTAAGAAATGTTCTAAGCAAAAAAATGGAAAATCGTATTTTTTTACTATTCTAGCCCGATCTGAGTGAACGGCAAAGCTTTTCAATTATGGGTCAGTTTTCACAATCAGAAAAAGTATTCGAAAGTTTGTACACAAGGTCTAGACCTACATGAAATGTCACATTAATAATGTATTTATATATTAATAACATGTCGAATAAATATTTCCAGTCCTGTCATGTTAAAACACTTACTGGATTCATTATCGGAACGACTTTTTTACTAGTTAATACAAATTCAACGTTTGGGGTTGATACGACCGTTTTGCTGTTAATTTGACGATATCGGACGTCAGTACAACAAATTTAGTCCATGCATACATTTCTTTATTCCACATGATCATTCTCTGTGCATAAATATTCCTTGGTGGAATGGAAAAGGTCTTTAAAGGCACATTATACCTCAGATATCCTTATTTTTTTTCTATAGAATTTTCAAACGTTAAAATATTAAATTTTCAGAATATTTGATTTTTAACAATTGAGAAATGTGACTAGGAGTATGCAGTCATGATGTTTAACAACTGAGGAATGTAGCTAGGAGTATGCAGTCATGATGTTTAACAACTGAGAAATGTGGCTAGGAGCATGCAATCATGATGTTTAACAACTGAGGAATGTGACTAGGAGAATGCAGTCATGATGTTTAACACTGAGGAATGTGGCTAGGAGCATGCAATCATGATGTTTAACAACTGAGGAATGTAGCTAGGAGCATGCAGTCATGATGTTTAACAACTGAGGAATGTGGCTAGGAGAATGCAGTCATGATGTTTAACAACTGAGGAATGTAGCTAGGAGCATGCAGTCATGATGTTTAACAACTGAGAAATGTGGCTAGGAGCATGCAGTCATGATGTTTATCAACTGAGGAATGTAGCTAGGAGCATGCAATCATGATGTTTAACAACTGAGGAATGTGGCTAGGAGCATGCAATCATGATGTTTAACAACTGAGGAATGTAGCTAGGAGCATGCAGTCATGATGTTTAACAACTGAGAAATGTGACTAGGAGAATGCAGTCATGATGTTTAACAACTGAGGAATGTGGCTAGGAGCATGCAGTCATGATGTTTAACAACTGAGGAATGTGGCTAGGAGAATGCAGTCATGATGTTTAACAACTGAGGAATGTAGCTAGGAGCATGCAATCATGATGTTTAACAACTGAGGAATGTGGCTAGGAGCATGCAATCATGATGTTTAACAACTGAGGAATGTAGCTAAGAGCATGCAGTCATGATGTTTAACAACTGAGAAATGTGACTAGGAGAATGCAGTCATGATGTTTAACAACTGAGGAATGTGGCTAGGAGAATGCAGTCATGATGTTTAACAACTGAGGAATGTAGCTAGGAGCATGCAATCATGATGTTTAACAACCGAGGAATGTAGCTAGGAGCATGCAGTCATGATGTTTAACAACTGAGGAATGTGGCTAGGAGAATGCAATCATGATGTTAAACAACTGAGGAATGTGGCTAGGAGAATGCAGTCATGATGTTTAACAACTGATGAATGTAGCTAGGAGCATGCAGTCATGATGTTTAACAACTGAGAAATGTGACTAGGAGAATGCAGTCATGATGTTTAACAACTGAGGAATGTGGCTAGGAGCATGCAATCATGATGTTAACAACTGAGGAATGTGCTAGGAGCATGCAGTCATGATATTTAACAACTGAGGAATGTGGCTAGGAGAATGCAGTCATGATGTTTAACAACTGAGGAATGTGGCTAGGAGCATGCAGTCATGATGTTTAACAACTGAGGAATGTGGCTAGGAGCATGCAGTCATGATATTTAACAACTGAGGGATGTGGCTAGGAGAATGCAGTCATAATGTTTAACAACTGAGGAATGTGGCTAGGAGAATGCAGTCATGATGTTTAACAAATGAGGAATGTGGCAAGGAGCATGCAGTCATGATATTTAACAACTGAGGAATGTGGCTAGGAGAATGCAGTCATGATGTTTAACAACTGAGGAATGTGGCTAGGAGCATGCAATCATGATGTTAACAACTGAGGAATGTGGCTAGGAGCATACAGTCATGATGTTTAACAACAGAGGAATGTAGCTAGGAGAATGCAGTCATGATGTTTAACAACTGAGGAATGTGGCTAGGAGAATGCAGTCATGATGTTTAACAACTGAGGAATGTGGCTAGGAGCATGCAGTCATGATATTTAACAACTGAGGAATGTGGCTAGGAGAATGCAGTCATGATTTTTAACAACTGAGGAATGTGGCTAGGAGAATGCAGTCATGATGTTTAACAACTGAGGAATGTGGCTAGGAGTGTGCAGTCATGATGTTTAACAACAGAGGAATGTGGCTAGGGGAATGCAGTCATGATATTTAACAACTGAGGAATGTAGCTAGGAGTGTGCAGTCATGATGTTTAACAACTGAGGAATGTAGCTAGGAGTGTGCAGTCATGATGTTTAACAACTGAGGAATGTAGCTAGGAGAATGCAGTCATGATATTTAACAACTGAGGAATGTAGCTAGGAGTGTGCAGTCATGATGTTTAACAACTGAGGAATGTGGCTAGGAGAATGCAGTCATGATGTTTAACAACTGAGGAATGTGCTAGGAGCATGCATTCATGATGTTTAACAACTGAGGAATGTGGCTAGGAGCGTGCAGTCATGATGTTTAACAACTGAGGAATGTGCTAGGAGCATGCAGTCATGACGTTTAACAACTGAGGAATGTGGCTAGGAGCATGCAGTCATGTGCTATTAAGGTAAAAAAACAAAGAAGTATTTTGATTTCGATACAAAATACTAAGTCACTTAAATAAATGTAATACAAATGCCAACGGAGCAAACGAAGCAAAATATAGTTCATATATATGGCAAATGACTATAATTAGATACCAAAAATGAAATAAAAATGATAGAATTTCTGAAGCATAATGGGTCTTTAAATGACAATATTTTCACCGTTATTTGTTCGAATCCGCTTTTAGGGAATTTTATTACGTTTTTTTTTCTCCAAATGATGCATAAAGGGAAACAAGGTGTTTTAAACGGCAAGCATACCTGGAAATTACAGTTCATATATAATGGCAAATGACTATAATTAGATACCAAAAATGAAATACAAATGATAGCATTTCTGATGTATAACGGGTCTTTAAACGATAATATTTTCCCGAAAAGCAACATCAACAACCTGTTGTTATGGCTTATTGTAACTATATCAACACCAGTTTTGAACATTCAAATTTAATTTGTCTTAAGGTATATATAATCCTGTATGAAGGAGTAAATACAGCCAAAGTGCTTAACATAAAGTAACATAAACTGCTTAATAAGTAATGTAAAGATTATATATTAATAATAATGCTGAAGGATTGTGGGGATTTAAGTCAAAGATATTTTGCTTTGGAACATATGCATTAAAGAAATAACAATTAGTGGTGAGTTAGAATGAAATAAGTAATGAATAAATAAATAAAATAAATGGAAAAATGACATAACAAATATTACAAGTATCAATAAATAAATAAAGTAATAAAGTAAAGTAATAATAATAATAAGTAAAATGAAAAAAAAAAATTTTAAAAGTAAAAATATATTCTCCAGTCAATCATACAATTCAATTATTTTATGAAATTAATAGTGTTATGGTGTTGAGGTCCAATATAACTCTTACCTCAGCAGCAGTCCAACTAAGAGTACTTGAACTGCGCCAATAACAGCTACTTTCGAACAACTGCCAATCGCCTTCGCATGTCTCCACTAACAAACTTTCACAATTACGACCAGAGTACCCTTCTGGACACGTGCATGTGTAGTTGTTGACACCGTCTGTACACGTGCCATTATTTTGGCATGGATTTGGCTGGCAGTCGTCAATGTCTGTAAAGGGCAAGTAATGTGTTATAAAAGTGATTTTTTAATAACAATAATAATAAATGACTGCTTAAAATGCATGTTATAATGATCAAAAAGAGTTATCAACACAAGCTGATGCTTTCAAATTGTTGTTTAAGTTGGATTTATATCGATTTATATGGATTGTTTGTAACCTTCTGAGGTGCATTAGACAATAAGATAGTAATCAATGTGAAACTGATATTTGATTCTTACTTCTTTGGCAGTGACATCCTGTGAACCCAGAATTTGTACAATTACAGGCAACAAACCGCCTACTTTTGAAGTAACACTGTTCCTGTTCCATACATAAGCCTATAATTACGAAGGGTTTAAATGTCTTTGAAGATGATCAAAATGAAAATGCACAAATACAACATGTATTTGAGTACGATGCCGTTGGTAGTTTAGAGTAAATGTAACTTTAATCACACAAACAAATACTGACTAAACTTAAGATTCATTTGTAGACGAATCAAAATTAGTGTCATAATATTTCAGGAATTAGTACAACAATCATATGGAACCATGTGTTCTCTCGTGCGGTTCTCTTGTTCTCATATTTCCCTGCATTGTTCTTAAATATCAATGTTTAAACTTATCTAATAATAATTTATCATCATAATGTAATAAATAAATTTTAACGTAATTTACACACATCGGTAGCATTTCTTCTGTGCCGACTCATAAGCGCTGCCAAAGCCTGGCCTCAAACAGGCAGTATCATTAGGGCACTGTTTAAATAAAAAATCATATAAAATCTAAATTGTTTCAAACTTAATACACGTTGACACGTTAGCATTTTTTTCTGTCATGTTTTCAACACAATCTAAGTACAGAAGTAACGAAACGACAATTATCTCAAATTAATTTAATAATTTGATTTATTTACAACACTTAAGGCCTGTCACGTGATTGTTTGTGCTCTCGAAGCAAATTAAAGCTACATTGAATGTTATCAAACTATCTTGATTTCACGAAACCTGCGTTCTAGCTGCTTTAATCAAAAAGTTGAATTTACCTCGGCATGCGAATCGCAATTTCCATAATACGGTGTTCCGTTGGCCCACCATATACCATATGCTAATGGTAAAATAGTCTTGAAGGGAACAAGAAACTGTATCAAGTATGTGCAAAAAGTCATAATCATTATTCTGGTAAAGCATTAGGCGTTTTAGAAAATAACCTTATAAAATTGGTGTAAATTATTTTATAGTTTACAGTACATCAAGATAACATCAATGACTGTTCTTTCATAAATGAATGTTTTAAATACGTTAAAAGTATGTCACTTTAAATCATTAACTATATATGATGTCATACCATACAGTATGACTCTTGCAGAGCGGCCATCTGAAGAGTAATTCCCGCTACAACAACACTATTTTTCTCCTCAAAGTAAAGGTTTCCACTCCATGTTACCTCTTTAGAGCAACCCCTCTAAGCAACAACCGAAATATTTTTCTCTCAAAGGGTTTTGCTCAGCAGAGTTTATACTGCATAGTGTTGGTAAGCAGTAACAGTACTTTACCTTAAAGGTTCGTTATGCCCCAGAATTACTTTTGTTTTCATTTCTTAAAAGCTTTTTTGTGCACTATTATAGTTTCCAAAAAAATACTCATTGGCCTAATACCTGAACCACCTTTTGCATCTGTTACATTTTGACAATAAGTAAAAATTTAGTGATTTAGAATTTTCAAAGGAAATCAAAAAACTACTTTTATTACATTTTCTACTTTAATGATAGGTTATTTCACATTCGGCGCGCGATATGCCTCTAAAATGATCTAAAACAATAATTTTAACATTATTCATGTTTTACTTTTCTAATGAATGAAGAAGTATTTATTTCTAAGGCATAATGTGCTTTTACAGCTAAGTCAAATTAAATGAAAGACTTACCGTTAATAAAATAAATCCTTTAAACATCTTTTGAAAGTCGGCAATAACCAACTGTTATTTGAATGCTACAAAAATGATAAAAATATTCATTATCATAATCCTATATTGTCATATAACAAGTGTTGGTCCAAAGATTAAAGTGAGACGCATAAAGTAGGTCGATTAAAATAAGTCTCAAAGAAACTGAAATAAAGAAATATATAAAAAAAAAATTAAAAATGTAGAAGACAAAAAGTATTCACGGTCAAAACCTCGAGGTCATTAAACATTTATTAGATCTGTTTTTGAAATCCAAGACTTTTCATTGGTTAGTGCACAATCTGTAGTGGTTCTGACAAATCAAAAAAATGAGATCTTAATATGAGAGAAGAATATTTCTTCATAACCTCGGGACCAGGTCTATATTAATTTGTACATAAAGTATCATTGAAGGGTATGTGCCCTAGTCTACAAGAATTAATCTTTTTTTTAACTTTTGTTCTCATTAAAAAAATGTTCATGTTTTAAAGTAACACAAAACAATTATTCTATAAGTTATTGCCAATCTGTGTTGCGCTTATATTATAACAATTTTATAACCATTTACTCTACCCGACAATGTTTGTATTACTGAAGCATTTTTTTTTCTAAATACATCATATGTCAAAGTTGAATTCATTTTACAACATTTCATTTCGTACCTTCGACAATGCTTTGCAAAATCATTTGAGCCGCGTCACGGCAAAATCAACATAGTGGGTTTGCGACCAGCATGGATCCAGACCAGTCTGCGTATCCGCTCAGTCTGATCAGGATCCATGCTGTTCGCTGTCAGTTTCTCCACTTGTAATAGAGTTGGTAAGCGAACAGCATGGATCCTGATCAGACTGTGAGGAAGCGCAGGCTGATCTGGATCCATGCTGGTCGCAAATCCAGTATGTTGGTTTTGTCATGACACGGCTTATTTAATTTTCTTTAAACGGCGTGCTGCTTTAAAAGTATTGTCTTGAAACTGTGTTTTCATTTCTTTAAATACGTATACCTCTTTTTTTACATGTTTTAAATTGTCAAAAATGACAGATCAATTTTGATTGTAGTTTTGGAATCATTAGTTTAAGATTAAACCATTGAAACTTTATTACAAACTTTTATCCTAAATTTGCTTATTAAAATAATGAAAATATGAACAATATTTGGAATATTGTAAATTTTAAAGTCTGAATAATAGCAATGATTTGCCCGCGTTTCCTCTTGCATGTACAAAATAAGAACAATGTTCATTCTCGTCACAAAATATTTCCTTGTAACCATTTAAAACATGTATAAGAGCAAAAAAATCTTCCAAAACTTACAAAATAGCCAATTTCTTCATACTATTATGATAAGAGCACAATATACTTGTCAGTAAATCTGAAAAAAAGATCTTTTATAACAAGCAGAAACAAAATTACTGTTAAAATAATATTGAAGTACTTACACTTACTGATGTAGGGTATCTTCTATCCTGATCTGTCTCCAACTTATAATATCCTGATCTGGCTGCAACGTTTAATGATCCTGATCTGGCTACAACGTGTAAAGATGAGAAGCATCGTTTAACATCGAGAATTTATACAAAATTATGAAACAAATGTTTCAATACGTTTTAAGAGTACTAATAAAGTTGATAAACACAATTAAGTAACACATGTTGTTTTTGTTGGATGAATGATATAAATATGTTGCGTTAAATGTCATGTGACTTATGTTTAATAAGTAATTTAAATTTAGAAAATAACTTTGAACAAAACAAGACAAAACTGGCAAATTTTGTGTAACATATGTTGTTTTGTTTGAGCAATAAAACTAACTTACTTGCACGTTTATGAAAATATTAAAATTTAATATAAAATTATCTGCGTTTTATATAAACAACTTTCCCTGTTCATCTAAGTCACTTTATAGCACTTTTAAAGTTCATGTCATGTTGCCACTAACACGGACCACAATGCAAAGAATGTTCTCATTTCATTTGTTTGTTTGTGCGTGTGCGTGCGCGTGCACGTGTGCGTATGTGTTTTGGGTTTGTTTTATTTTTTTTTGGGGGGGGAGGGGGATATATATATATATATCTATCTATATCTATATATATATATATATTATCCCTTTGTACCACGTAGCATAACATAGTTGATACTATTGCTTGTGTTACTTAATCGTTTTATGATTTTTTGAATAAAATATGTTTGTTTCCATTGTATGTATTGTGTGTGATACTGAAATATATCTATTTAAATTTTGATGTAAAATATAAAATTATCTTTATTGTATACTAAGTAACTTTTTTACATAAAGAGATAGAGATAATTCGACTGTTATAAAGCTGAGTGATACGAATAAATTTGAAATTGAGCCATTTTAATCTCTTTAACACTTGTTTTGACATGACTGTATTTTTAAACTTGTCATAATCCATCCTGCAATATTGATATGAAAGCCTCTTTTAAGAAAAGAAAAATACGTTGATAACTAATGAAGGATAAAATAGTTTATCATAAGGAATGTAAATAATCTGAAGTTAATAAAAGCTGTATTTAAGTTTTTTTTGTTTTTAATATGAAATCGATAAGAAAGATAGTTAAACTGGAGACAGGTGATAAGAATAACGATTTATATTCAAGTTATGAATAAAATACAATAATAAATGAAAGAAAATACACCTTATACGTATTTTGTTTAATCAATGATTGTAATTATACCTACCTATCTACCTACCTACCAACCCACCCAACAACCAACCCTGCCTGCTTGCCTATCTACTTATCTACCATATCACTCTCTCGCCCTTCCTGCCTGTCTGCCTATCTGCCTACTTACCTAACTACTGACCTACCCAGTGCCTACCTCCCTGCCTACCTACCTACCCACACACCCGCCCACCCTGCCTGCCTGCCTTCCTACCTACATTGCTAGCTTACTACAGACGCATTAACCCACCCAACCTGCCGGCTACCTCCCTGCCGACCATTCTATCTACCTACCTACACACCCACCCGCCAACCCTGTCTGCCTGCCTACCTTCCAGCCTGCCTACCTGCCTACCTGCCTCCCTATCTACCGACCCATTGCCTGCCTGCCTACCTGCCTACCTACCTACTTAAAAACCACCTGCCCGTCCACCCTGCCTGCCCGCCTGCCTGCCTGCCTGCCTGCCTACCTACCTACCTTCCTAAAGATTGAGAATGACGTCTCACTCAAAAGCCCTGTTCAACTTGAGGGCAATCAGGCTTAACATCGTTATATTTGGTATCAACGTTGATTCAGGCGTGTAGATGACTTCTTCTGATTGTTAGATTAGTAGATTCTATGTCAAGCTCACAATGACCTTCAACTCAATTCCAATGTCAGACTAATTACTTAAGCATATGATTTTACTTGCTGTTCTCGTTACTGCATGTAGATATAGTATTTTGACCCTCCAAATACTGAGATCAGTTGGCTGAAGGTCAAGATGAAAATGTACTTAAGTTCAAACACTATAAAACAATTTTTTTGGAGATCTGGTTAGCACGCTGTCTGTTTGTTTGTTTGATTGGGTTTTACGTTACACCGACACAGTATAGAAAATATAGCGACGTTCCAGCTTTACCGGTGGAGGAAGACCTCAGGTGCCCTTCCGTTCATTATTTCAGGCACGAACGGGCACCTGAGTAGAACCACCGACGTTCCGTGAGCTAGTTGGAGAGCTTCCTCACATGAAAGAATCCAAAGTCTCTGTCGGGATTCGAATCCACAGCGGTGAGGGGCAAATGGTATGAAGTCAACGACATTAACACCACCATCACGCTGTATCATCATATTGTAAAGGTGTTGTCAATGGCTTATCCATATTATTCCCCGCCGACAGGCAATTTGGATGGAAATTAATATTTTGTTATTGAACGAATTAGTATATCGTAATTAATATTACGTTAAAACGAATTGTATTATTTCGTAAAAACGAACCAAGATTTCGTTAATAACGAATTAACATGTCTTTTGTACGAATTAATCTTTCGTTAAAACGAAATAATATTTCTTAAATAAAAAGAATTAATATTTCGTGACAACAAATTGATAATTCGTAAAAACGAATTATTATTTCTTTAAAGCGAAATAAGATTTTGTAAAACCTAAAAACGTATAAATATTTTGTAATTACGAAGTAATATTTCGTAAAAACGAATTAAGTTCAGGGGAAAAAAGTGTGGAAAATGTCACCTAAGGGGCTCCAAAGATGTTGCCGTTGGATAAAAAAAATAAACTTGCAATTGTTACTTAAAACTTTAATGATGGCCCTTAAAGGTAAATGGACTGTTGAAACCTACGATATACGTTCATATTAAAGATCATGTCTGTTTTTGGTTGATATTGTTACTCTGTGTATACCACACTTTCAAAAATATATATATGTATAAAATTATGCAAATAAAACAATTTTCAAACATCGAAGAATATGTAAAATGTGTACTGCAAATATTTGTGAACATTATATTTAATCAATAAATTATATGCATTCATTTCTTATTGGAAAATTTGAAATAGATCATGTCTGTTTTTGGTTGATATTGTTACTCTGTGTATACCACACTTTCAAAAATATATATATATGTATAAAATTATGCAAATAAAACAATTTTCAAACATCAAAGAATATGTAAAATGTGTACTGCAAATATTTGTGAACATTATATCTAATCAATAAATTATATGCATTCATTTCTTATTGGAAAATTTGAAATAGAATTTATAGAAAATAAATTTCTAATTACCTCCTTTTATTTACATGAAATGATAATTTCGGTAATATCTTTATAAATAATGCTTTTTGGAACTTACAATATTGACAAATCTTAATTTGAGCATCATATTTATGGAATAAAACCATGAAAAAAATGTGTTACAGGATATTTAAAACAGCATGCCTCTAGGTTCATGATAATTTTCATGAAAATTTGAAAATGTATTCAACAATATAATATTGTGGAGTTAACAAAAGAATGCAATTTACACATTATCAATGACACTTAACAAACTATGTAAATTACCATAAAAAGATTAAAATATGCATAAAAAACTTTACTGCGTTAGTAACTCAGTAGAAATATAGCTACAAATACTGAAAAATCGGTCATTAATAGCACATAACTTGTAAATTATTACTATTATTTTGAAGCTTTATACATAACTAAAATCTTAATACATTTTTCTTAGATTTGATTTTATCGAAATATTTTTGCTCATCTGGAGGCGTGCAGCTTTAAACACTCCTCTTTATGGAAAAAGGAAATGGTTCTATCAACATAATCAAAAACGAATTGAAAATTTCCGCTCATACTACATATTATGCGGATATATAATTTGATTATAACTGTTATCGCGATTTCATAGAAAAACACTTAATGCGTACACTCCAACCCGAAAACACTTAGTCTATTGATTATAATTTTATTTCATTGTATCTATAATGATAAACGTTCTAAAAGCGGAAATTGTCCATTCAAATAAGGATGCGACATGTAATATTGTCATTTTATACATTCATCAAAACGTTAAAATTTTAACATTATTTGACAAAATGGCTTTAAATGAATTACTTTCCTACTTGTTTTTAATTCAGTTTTATGTAACGCGAAGTTTTGGTAAGTTCACTTTATTTATTCATATAGACATTTGCTATGTAACAGCATCATTATCACAATCATCATTATCATCACTAATCATCGTCATAGTTATCATTATCACCATCATTATCATATAAGTGTTGTTTGTGCCATCATCATAATGATCACCAACACGATAATAATTATCATGAAAGTAGTCAGTCATCAATATCATCACCACCATAATCATAATTATCATCATCATCACCAAGGTCATCATTATTATCATCACCATCATTATAAAATAAATGTTGTTTTTGCCATCATCATAATAATCACCAATCATCATAAAAGGTATCATCATGATAAACACCATCATTGTCATCATCACCATAATCATTACCATCACGAACGTCCTCATTATTATCATAAGCATAATTATCATATAACTGTTGTTGTTGTTGTTGCCATTATCATAATAATTATCATCATTTTTATCATGCTCAAAACCATAATCATCATTAATAACAATATCATAATTATCATTGTTTAAGTGTTGGCGTGTAGTCTAGCTTAATCATTTTCTAGTTATTTTATCAACTTATCTTAAACCTATAATTATAGTTTTGCCGTTTGAAACCCTTTAAAGCTATTATAGCATATCGTATCTATGGAACTCTAATATATATTTATATATAAAATAATAATTATATATTTATAATCATTTTGAAAGTCAGTTTCAATGTTGTATAGTTATTTCATTTTCTTATTTAATAACATAAATTTTGCCGTCGTTTAAAACGGTTTTTAATGTTTCTATTGTATTTATTATTAAAATATTACTGCATATATTGTGAATGAAACATATACATGTATTTATATATGAGCCGCGTCACGACAAAACCAACGTTATGCGTTTGCGACCACCATGAATCCAGACCAGCCTGCGCTTTCGCGCAGTCTGATCAGGATCCATGCTGTTCGCTTACAAACCCTAACAAAGTAGAGAAACTGATAGCGAACAGCATGGATCCTGATCAGACTGCGCGGAAGCGCAGGCTGGTCTGGATCCATACTGGTCGCAAACGCATTACGTTGGTTTTGTCGTGACGTGGCTCATATATATTTATAATTATATTGAAGGCGAGTATGATATATCGAAGCAGACGACAAATTGGTCTTCTGCATTAAAACAATGTCATATAGCAACGCCTGAGATATTCACTTGTCCCCGTAAACAATATTGTCTAACTATAAATGATGAACCAAATGATATAATACTAAACGGGATAACTGATGGACTATGGGTAGGATTTTACTCGATTGAGATGTCACTCATTCATGTTGGTAAGGAAATATATTATTATCATATTACTATTACTATATTAAATAAGTTTTTTTAATGTTTATATGACTCTTATTGCTATAAAAATGTAAACATGAATGTCCTGAAATATGTAACAGAAAGGGAATCGAAACGCGAGGCTATCTGGCGCCCCCTCCCCCCCCCCCCCCGCCCCGCCCCCTGTAGTATATGTTTCTTCAGTTGGTACGCTGAAAACGAAAACGAGGCCATATGTGTTGCGATATGCATTTGATATATAGATACTTTGGATACAAAAAATGAAGACGAGGGTGAATATTTAGAATCAGATCAAATACTAAATAAGGAATTTTTGTACATGACGTGATTCAAACACTGAAAGTTTATTGGTTATATTTTATAAGGTTTTAAATAAATGTAAATACAATTAACATACTCATAGAAATTGAAATTGTTTCATGTATAAGTGTTTATCAATCTGACAGATTGCGTTGCTATTCCTTCAAGGAATGAGTACCAGGAAGAAAACTATAAAGATGATGCTAGCAAATGCTTCAGAAAATGCTTGACTTCAAAATATATAGGAATATCCAGAAAATATGTATGTGTTGCTTCTAACGAATTTTCTATTTTAATTAATTACTTTAATATAATATATAAATTTATCTTTCTTTTAAGTTTTCTTATCTATTTGTAATTTATTTTACGTACGTTTTCTATAATCCATTTCTTTTGTTATCGAAATTGATACATCCTTAAATAAACCAACATGAAACGATCGCAAAACAAAATGACGCGTTTCAATTTGAAATTCATTTTAGCTGAAAATTGAACTGTTCATGAATTGTTTGTGTACGCTATTGAAACAAATTCAGACTAAGATGTGTATGACGTAAAAACGTTCGCCGTTGCACCTGAATCCAGGAAGTTACGTTATGCGCAAGATGTCATGGCAACGTATGTACCGCCGATATAAAACAAGCAAAACCATCAAAAACGGAAATCGTCATGCATTAAAGATGTCTGTTGCTGTCGTCTCTTTAAATGTTCCAAAAATGAAACAAAGATGTCGGGAAAAGTCGCGTGACGCACCCTTTATCAGAAAGACGTGTTTGCGGTAGAATTAAACCTTTCACTTTCGTCGAATTCACATGAAAATATGTTTAAATACGAAAATAGTCTTGACCTCAACACCAGACAAGCCATTTTATGTTAAGCACAAGTTTCAACTTTGTGACTGTAATAAATAAAAGTACGCCGCGCGCCCCCGCTAATTAGCGTGTTTTCGCTCCGCGCCACGCCATTTTATCTTGTTAATTATCGACTTGGCGGGGTCGCTGGACGAAAACACGATAATTAGCGGGGGCTCGCGGCGTACTTTTATTTACTAAACTTCGCCCCTCGCTAATAAGTGTGTTTTCGTCCCGCGACCCCGCCATTTTATTTCTTTAATCTCGCTCCACGCCCCTGCGGGACGAAGTTTTATTTATTAAACTTCGCCCAACGCCCCCGCTAATAAGCGTGTTTTCGCTCCGCGCCCCCGCCATTTTAACTTGTTAATTTTCGACTTTTCGCTTGAGGGTTGCGGGCGAAAACACGAATGGCACAAATCAGCCACCATATTTTACACATTTTCAATTTTCTTTTATTGTGACATAGATTTTCAGTAACTGTAGATAATATTGTTTGATATTTCAGTGCGTTTGTTTTGAAAAGCCTTACGGTAATTCTATGACGGATGCGTCAAATTGCGACAAACATTGCAGTCATCCGAAACGTCTTAGGTGTGGAGGGAAGGATTATTTAAGTGTTTACCAGTCTGAAAACAATATCAACAAAAACGGTACTCATCTGATGTATCTTCTATCTTACGAGATTTAAACATTAATCATTTTAAATAGATTATCTTACAAGGCGGGTGTATGTCTCACGAGCACGAAATTCAAGATCAAAATATTAGTACATTCACACTGAACCTTGCATGCTTAGTTATTAAATCAACGGAAAATAAAGAAAACTAAACTTTGTAATGTACTTCTGTAAGCTTCAAGCATTTTAATGTAAAATGGATTTTCGTTTCTGTCTGGTAATAATTGCTTTTTAAGAAATATATGGAAGATAAGAAATTGTGGCAAAGTATATACAAGAGTTGTGATAAGTCAAGCAACTTGCCGACATGAAAGTTTTTAAAAACGTTTAATTGATTGATTTTTTTTCTTCAAAATAATAGAAAGTATAAGTATACAATAACGTTTACATTATTCGGTCATACCATTATGATATAATGAATTGTGCAGGTTATTCAGTTATTATACATGTATTTTGCATTCTTATTAAGATATAGAAGATGTACGTCATATACTTATCCTACTTAAACCTAATCATATTGATTTTGCTCAAATTTTAGAATTTGTATAAATACACAATTTAAAGATGTATATAAAATGGAAAATTACACGCCTGTTATATTCTAGTGAGCTATATCACTTTAATTAAACGCATGCTCATGAGAATTCAATTTTACACAACCAATTCCAGCGATACAACCCATGAGAAAAGCAAACTATATAATTATAGCACATCATTATGTATTCGAATTGCACGGGAATTCATTTTATCATATATTTATTTGTCGAAATTTAAAACCATATGAGCCGCGTCACGACAAAACCAACATAATGCGTTTGCGACCAGCATGGATCCAGACCAGCCTGCGCATCCGCGCAGTCTGATCAGGATCCATGCTGTTCGCTATCAGTTTCTCTACTTGTAATAGGTTTTGTAAGCGAACAGCATGGATCCTGATCAGACTGCGCGGATGCGCAGGCTGGTCTGGATCCATGCTGGTCGCAAACCCATTATGTTGGTTTTGTCGTGACGCGGCTCATATGTTTTCTTTCGTTGCTTATTATTACCTATGATAGAAAACGAATCAGAAAACGAGAGAAAGGAGAATGATGCTTCAACAAACGACAGTCGTGAGAGTTCAGCAGACGACAGTCGTAAGAGTTCAGCAGACGATATTCTTGATGGTACAGCAGACGATGGGACACAGGCACGAGATAGAAAACTACATCTTGATATCATCTTCAAGTACATGTACAATGAAACGGGTACTGCTTTGATTTTATTAGTATACATGTATAGTCAAATAATCAAAAGTCGTTGCTCGTCCTTCGGTGTATTTTGATTCAAGCGTGTAAAATGACTGTTCAAATTTTAAAGATCAGATATGGACTAAACATAGGAATATTGATATTAAGTCGGCAATATGAATGATCTGTTTTCTATTAAACAACAACAACATTAACAAAAAATAACCTATCTGAAAAAGTTATGTCGATCAGCACAACGCTCAAAACTTTGCAAAATATAGAGTTAACTCATTTAGATCTTATCTGTCCGTTTGTAGCTATTTAGAGGCTGATATTATCCTTTGTTTATATTTTATCTTTATTATCCAGCAGAGGCTTTTTTCTGAAGTCTACATGTAGCACTACTTTATCCATGTGATAAGCATCGTTCATGCCCCAAAAGTTTTATTTAAACGTTATAAACCTCATGACTGTCCATTCTAAAGATGGAACAATTTCATCCGTTTTCTTTTTGGCAAAATGTACCTTTAAAAATGTTATTTATTTCAGAGGAAGGAAGCAATTATGAAAGAAAGTATGGCTATGTCCAAGATGATCCTAAAGGTTACATTCTCAAATTTACAGACGACAATATGCAGAAGAATGCACTGTGCGAAAAGGGTACGATAAACATTTTTTTTTTCATCTTATCTTAAATGCTTACAGTCAGTCAAACTTTTCCTCGTTTCCTTCATCGTTCCCCAATGATGTACAATTAAAACAAATCCGAATCAATATTTTGTACTTTAATAAGTATATAAATAGAGAATACCATACTAGTGTCTGAATTAAATTATCAAATTTGAACAATGTTTTATTTTAATTTATATAGGTTTTATCCTTTCAGTGATGCAAAATAATTTTATCTAGAGTTAAGAATCTGTTGCCATTCAGTCTAATGTTTATGGTTTTAAGGAAGAGAACATTACAATGGTTTTCACTATAAAGCAATTGTACCAGAAATTTTTAAAGTCTTTAAGAACAAGATTGGCAATAGTTTCTTGTTTTAGTAAATAAAGTTTAATTATAATATGCATATGAATATGGAATGAGAAGAGAGGTAACTCTGTAAGTTATATTGGAAATTCTTGCAGAATTGCCTCCCTTCAATTAGATTATGCCGGCTCGTCGTATAATAATAATAATAATAATAATAATAATAATAATAATAATAATAATAAAGACTTTATTTAACGAGAGAACTCATTTGAACAAACAAATCAATCTTCCATGAGGCCCTCAACAAGGAACAATATAAATTTAACATAATCAAACTATTAAAATACATAAATGTAAAACATACAGGAGATTATCAATTTGTATACATCAATGCGTGATAAAACCTCAAGTATAAGGTTTTAAAATGGTTAACAGATGAAGCAGACTTAATATAATCAGGAAGGCCGTTCCAAATACAAGATCCAGAATAAACAAAAGACTTACGAAATTGTTCAGTATTTGGTCTAGGGGTATAAAGTTGAAAATCAGATGATGAACGTATTACGTTAGGATTTTACTGAGAAACAACCTAAAACTCCGAATCCATCCAAAAATTTAATCGAAGCTTGGCTTCCAGCTTTCTACAAAATTTATCTGTTAGGGCTGGAATCCAAAATTATTTAGCCAATCAAATTTAATCTTACATTGCGTCAAAAAACCTTCAGTTTTCACGCCATTTTTAAAAAGCAGCAAGTATTGCTTTGAGTGCAAAGATATAATGATGATTAAGATGTTTGTTTTCATAAATTCTTTTTAATAAATCATATTTACACTGACTTTTGATTTATCGATTTCACCTGTTTTCTCTGTAGTTAGTTTTCGTTTGGTTAATTAACATATTTTACATCTGGTTCTGTGCATTTTTTCTTTTTCTTTTTGTTTCAGGTCATTTTATCCTTTCCGGTATTTAGGGTTGGGGAAAAGTCCCGGGATCCGGAATAGTATTAGATATATAGGGAAAAGGAATAAACTATATTTGTGTTGATTATTGTCGTTGAATCTTTGTACAGGAGATGATCATTATACCAAGCCCTCTTAAAATATAATTCCCTCTGTTGTCCCTAATGTGTAATTTAGTTTCTCTAAATGATATCTATGAAACCAAAGACTGCACATTAACCACACTACAGGAGTCCTCTTTCATAGTTATTCGTATTGTTCTACAGATAGGTCAAGGACACGTCTTATATAGAAACACATGTACGCACACCTTTATACCTTATTAATGCCTAAACCTTAAATACTTGGCATGTGGTATTACCTTGTTGACCACTTAAAAATTTTGTTCATGTATCTACATCATATCCATTTGTTTAAAATGTTTCACATACCAAGATGAAGTGGACATAATTTTTATTAAAATGCTTAGGGAAAATATGTTTGAGTCTTATTGATATATACTTCAATGCCTCCAGCTTTAATATTGAATATGTACCAATGCCTTGAGAACCTGTACAAATCAAATGTTAATCATGCCCCATGAATCTAAATTCGCCCACACCCAAGAGAGTTCTTCAGTAATATATTCCTGTATAGGACTTGTGTCTGTCACTCATTCGAATACTAAATAACATATTACAACTTAACTTCGTATAAAGAGACATCTTTATGAATTCTACCTATCTAACATTTTTTTGGCCAAGGTGAGCAAGCCATATAGTAAATGTGCATAGATATAGGGACTTCATTCTATCTGTTTACATGCATCTTCATATATACTCATATTCCTCTTTAACTGAGAAAAAATAACTGGCTTCCATAACTTTATATGTCACTTTTATTTTGATGTTTGCTGAAGTCTCTTCAGCTTACAGAACTGTCATTGTTACATTTAAACACACCCCTGGAAAAAAATTACGAAGCGAGTCGCTGCTAGCTTTTTTAAAAGCTAACCTTGTTTTACAGTCTCTTGTAATTCTGATTAAAATGGCCGTACACAAACAATTTTTATTTTGTAAAATTATGTAATTGAATTGTTTTAAATTGTTATGTATGGATGAGACTCAAATAAAGAATATATAATGAAGGCTAAGGAAAAAAGGTCAGGCTAATCTTATTTTTTTTTTATAAATCAGACACTTGTTTGGTATTCTATTTATCATGTTTGCAATTTTGATAATCGTTTCTTTTTGTGAATTTCAAATCAAACAAAAACTTGTCAAGACCCTCTCGAATTCATGTCGCGCGCAACAATATGCCAAGGGTCATATCTATAAGAAATAGTCCCAATTGTTTAAGCCTAATGTTAGAGAAAAAGATATTTGAAAAATATATTCTATTCAAAGTTTATCAGTATAATATTTCCATTCTAGTAAGAGGTAAAATTATTAAGAGGTAAATTAAGAAATCGATGTCATTGCATGATAAAAAATATACTTTTTCTTAATTTGAAATTTTACTCGATATACTTGAATAAACTTAAGTCAACAACTCCCAAATGACTGTTAAGTTTCTTAGAGTTGGTACAACCAAATACCGTTCTGTGTACCAGTATTCTTACTATTGTGTTTGATCGAGAGGTCCTTATCGTATTGTTACTATTATGTTCGATTACAAGGTCTTTATCGTATTATTACTATTGTGTTCGAGGAACTTATCGTATTCTTATCCGACGTTTGACGGAAAGGGCCGAATAGCTGCGAATGAATACTTACTAATCGATCAAAAATACTGAACATTGTTTAGAATCCATTTAGTTGATATTGACATAGAAATGTATAAGTATTTCATTTTTATTTTATATAACCAAGAATCAGCGCTTCATAAGAAAAGCAATGACAGGGAGAAAAAGAAGAAGAACAAACAAACAACAGATACCAATGACTTGAATACATCAGGAAACAATGGTAAATTACATTTACAGAATCATTTCTTTTGTGTAAAATTCTCATTTGTTTGTGAAACTTTAATAAGAACTATAGAAATACAGCATCGGCTAGTTGTTCCAATATGTAACTGGTTTTCAAACACGGCTGTTGCATTTATGATGCCTGACCATCAAAGAGGGTCGTAGACAGCGTGGTTTGATCGTTTTAATTTTGAGTTGTCTCCAATTTACATGTATTTTGAGCCCGAAAAAGAGAAGCCCGAACATAGAAAAAAAAAACATTACATCGATTGTGGATAAAGAACACATCCGACAAAAATATTTCGTAGACCAGAATATATTACTTTCTTTCATTTTTGTCGTTCTTTTTTTCTTTCTTTTTTTAAAGTACATGTTTTCAAACTAATAAAGCAATAAAGCTGACACGTTACTTGTATCAACAAACATTTCATGAAGTTGAGCAAACTACAGAAACAATAACACTGGATCGTATTTACATTTATATTAACATGAATAATATTTCTAGGAAAATGATAAGATTTGTATGTTAAACATCAGACAGCGATGCATGTTTTTGCAATAAGCATCTTCTTTTATATCTAGACTCAAGTGTCCCCGCCCTAGTATCTGTAGGTGTACTGGTAGCTATTGCAGTTGCCGTGGTAACCGTAACATTCATATACAGGCGGCAAGTATTTAATATTATACATTGTCATTATTTTCATTATTTTATACATCTCGTATTTATCACAGCTTCAAATAAACATGTTTACATAAAGGAACTCCTCTTAGGTTAAAATGCCTAAAAACATAAAATTTGAAAGTTTTACATAGATCAGGTGTAACACTTAAAATGAAGTTGCAAGGATGATACATCAATATTATTGGAATTAGATTTAAAGTCGATTTTTTTGTGCGATAACCTGTCCGATGTGATTGAAACGTTGCAACGCTTTTCATTTTTGGATCATTTTGCACATGAAAATTTTGCACGCAAATTATTGGACCATTGTACAAAACTATCGGGGAAAAATCCAGTCCCATAATATCAAAAACCTTCAAGGGGTCGCTTTGATATGTTGATGTTTAGATGATATCCCAATCAAAGGTATGAGTTTACAATTTTCATATGGAGTTTAAAGGCTATTGTCTGACAATCAGATTACTCGTCTTTGTAAGATAATTATCCATTTTTTTACAAAAAAAATGCGTAATAGTGCCTATTTAGACCTCCTATTTCCTACACCCTTTTATGGTTTTGTGTTGTCAAACCTGATATTTGAGACTTGGTAATAGATGTATGAATTCTATATAAAGCGTTTGTCACATTCCTTTTCAAATTTTGTCAGTTGTGTTTATATACCAGTCTGTACAAGTCTGTCTTATAAAACTTTTAATCACCTTAAACAAAGCATACTATAGACAAGGCAGACTGAAAAAACATGTCCCTTGTCGCAGAAATCTTAAAGGTAAATGTTTAATGACCTAATGGGTAAAGCTTTGCTGTCGTGATGTGCATTTCGTGTTATTGTGGTGTTTATTTGATACAAATAATTGAAAATCATTACAAGAGTAAAAAAGATATAGATCGGAACATTATACCTGTAAACCTAACCCTGAAGGCAGGGCAATAACTTAAAGTTTGCGCTTTGCACATCGTGTGCTTGCGGACATACGGAGGCCGTTATCATAATCCCCTTAGAGCTATGCGACAGGGTATGAAAGTAGCGCCTTATTGCATGATATTTGTTCAGTATTTCTCTCTCTGATTATTGAGCCAATAGCTTAACTTTAATTATATTTCATAAATGGAGATCAGTAATCCACTTATTGTGCGTTTTGAATCGTAAGCTCTCAAATATGCGTGCATGGCAGGTTATAAGACCACTATATCAAAAGTGGACATTTTTATATAACATTCGGTAGACCCTTTTTTTAAGAAGCAGGTTCGATATTATATATGGGATATGTTATATGGCAATCATTTCTCCTGTGTTATAAATAGCTGCTGCTGTGTTATATTTTCCATAAAGTCTTGATTAAAAATGAAATTCTTTTTCAAGGTACAGATTGTCACATCGGTTTAACAAAATGCCAGAAACAAATGAACGAGTAACCACACCTGAATACAACTATCCTAACTTCACATACGAAATGTCCAGCAATGTATCAAACCAAAGTGCGTTGAATAACGTAGAGTACAATTATCCTGACTTTTCAATGCTAAATGATTCCGAGCCTACCACAAATGATGACGCAAAAGCTTTTCAAAGCCAAGAAAGTGGACCAGTTGACGCTGAAACACATGTGTATAGTACATCGGGAAATGAAAACGAATATAACACCACAAGTAAAAGACCAGATGTGCTTCCCAATGAAACATATGATCATGCAGACCCAATGACAAAAGGTGGATCCAATACATTGGGCGATACAACTTACGACGTAAGTATGTCAACCGATGCACAGCTTCAAAAGTTTGGTGAGCATACAGATAATGTTTATAATACTGGAAACGACACTTACAATCAACTGGGTGGTGACAACCCGGAATTTAAGAAGTCTGATAACGTGTATGGATCTAATCAAATTGAGACATATAAACGCGTCCCAAATATTGGAGATGATAAGGATGGGCCGTACAATAGTACATCTGAAAAGTTTGAAAACTGCGGTATTACTGATAACCCGTATTCAGAATTAGAGGCGCATTAATAATGTAGTTCATGCACACCTGAAATTCTTAACTAGTGGCATCAAAATATCTGGTAACTTACATTATGAGCGATTATTATTCAGATCTTTGATGGTTGCGTGATTTATACCATTCATATATCATTCATATATCATTGGAACATTGTCTAGTCATCATATCGTTTTGTAATAAGTGTTTACTTAAATATAGCATCCAACAGGAGTTGTCGGTTCTTCAACTATTTAGTCTGGAAAGTGCAGGCGAGCTATATACTAGTATAACGTAGTCTTTACAAAATGTAAGTTTGTATAAACTTACAACGAATTTAAAATCATTTTTTCACTTGATAATCTGATGCCAGACAACACAAGACTCTGGCACAATTTGCATTCGGCAGTCCAGTTTCATATAAAACGTGTGTAGTACAAAAATATAGAAGTTAATACGTGATGATCGTGATAAAATGGGGTAATTTCACATTGTTTATTATCACCGTAGGGAACGTGTTACAGTATCGTGTTTTTGGGTTACAGTATAGAATTCTAAAGATGGAGGATTATTTGTTGGGAGGACAGGTATGTGATTTTTATTCCGGTCCATACTACAAGTAGTTTAGTTTCTAAAAGACGTTTGTTTGCTTTGCTTGTAAGGAACAGAATGCGGTATCTAGTCATATATTTCTTCAGACTCTGCACCGCAGATTTATCGCTATATTGTCTCATAAATATGCAGATTTGACAGTTTGAAAATTTGAATCGAGAGACCAACGCATTTTTCTCCAATTTCGACATTATTTATGCATGCCTAGCAAAAGTAAATCTGCAAAACGTTAGTCCTTTATGTTAGGAAACGTTTATAAAAGTAAATGACCAGTTGAACCTATTTTCCTGTTCATTAAATGCGTTTGAAAAAATAAACAATGTTACAGTATAGAGCGAGGTGATTTGTGCAGGGTTACAGCATAGACCTAGCGATTTTTATCCGATTTTGTTACAGTTTATACCCATATTTCAGTTACAGTTTAGACTTCGATATTTTCTATATATACTAGGTAAATGTATGAATGTTACATAGACTTTTAAATCTCTTGTGAACTTATTGGCCCGATGGCTATTAGTCCGTCTGTCGTACACATGTATATGTGCAATTTCATCCGCTCAGTAGCAACTTGACTAAATATGAGGAATTTACATGACTTTCTACTGGTTTTGGTGTAATCGGGGATACGAAAACCCCAAAACATAGATTTTGAATAAAGGCAATGTTTGAAGACCCTTCTCATCTCGAACCAAAAGCATTCAAATCAAATCATGATCATGGCGTCATTTCGAATGCTTCTTTGCTTGAAGTTACGATTATTTTGTCATTATTAAATTAAAAGTCGTTTTTTTTATTTCAGACATCCTGTATAGCAGTTTTCATGTTTCTGAAAAAGAAAATAATATTGAAAGTTATAGAGTATAAATTAAGGTCAGACAATTACAATATCTTCTCCAGTGAGCCTGATGGAGGTACATAAAAGTATAGTGGCAGAGTCGGGATAAGGCCGTCGACTTCAATTCATCTTTCATTTACTGCTGTAGTTGAAATCCAATCATGACTTTGGATTCTTTGTATGTGAGGAATCTATCAAGCTAATTTACGGAAGGTCGGTGGTTCTACTCAGGTGCCCGCTTGTGTCTGAAATGTTTCACAAAGGGTATCTGGAGTATTTCTTTACACTAAAGCAGGAATGTTTTCACATGACCTCAGTGTCGTTGAAACTTAAAATCCAAGAAAGCCAAACGTAACAAACCCTTTTAAATACTTACAAAATACTTTATGGTAGATGGAAATTCCAACTTAAAATAAAAATTAAGATTGCAGTATTGCTCACTCAAATACTGTTTAATCATTCTTAGGGTATTGCCTACTTGTTAATTGTGTCTTTTGACAGCTTATCTATGGTATGCAGGCTTCATAACCTCCGATCCCCTCTCAAAATTTCATTTTATTTAGTTTCACTCATTGTACGTATTCTCGTTTAGGGCACACGCAATTTTTAACCTGGTAGTAATATGCCGCTTTTCATAGAATGGCAATAACGTGTCACATTGAAGGTTCCATGATAACCGACATATGAACACATCCACAGATGTTAAAAAATCTAAAGTGTACCAGTTCATGTTTAATGTGGATTCTGCTGAAGCCCATGCTAGGAGGCGTGGACGGTAGCTTGCAGTTACCACTACCGTCCATAAACAGGTTTAATCAAACTGAGTCTGCAACATTTTCATATTTTCCGTGTTGGACTTCTGTTAAGGATTCTTTTTTTCTCTATTTAATTACTAATAGGCATTATTTTAATGTGTAATGAAATCAAGCAATAATCTTTCCTCTCTCAATACAATTTGATAAAAGTTACTGTTGTTGTCGTGAAAACAGTCCTTACTTAGGACATTACTTATTCTGCAAAAAGTCTCAATCTGAAACTTAAAGTAAGAAAAATAGCAAACTATAACTTTTCTGCTGAAAAAAGTAATACAACCTTTCAAGAATGTATTAAATAGAAAGGTATGAGTTATTTCAATAAAATAACGGATACACAAACTTTGTTTGAAATTTGGCAAGTATCTAAACTGTTACCGAACTCTGGGTATAAACTGTAACATAATTGGATCAAAGTCGCTAGGTCTATGCTGTAACCCTTCAAAATTAACCTCGCTCTATACTGTAACATTGTTTATTTTTTCAAACGCATTTTACCAACAGGAAAATAGGTTCTACTGGTCATTTACTTTTATAAACTTTTCTAAACACAAAGGACTAACGTTTTGTAGATTTACTTTATCTAGGCATGCTTTAATAATGTCGGAATGGGAGAAAAATGCACTGGTCTCTCGATTCAAATTTTTAGACTGTCAAATCTGCACGTTTATGAGACAATATAGAGATAAATCTGCGGTGCAGGGTCTGAAGAAATATATGACTAGATACCGGATTCTGTTCCTTACAAGCAAAGCACAAAAACATTTTAGAAACTGAACTACTACTAGTATGTACCTGAGTAAAAATCACCTACCTCTCTTCCCATAAATAATCCTCCATCTTGAAAATTCTATACTGTAACCCAAAAACGCGATACTGTAACACGTTCCCTACGGTGAGTATATTGGACGGGTGCTAGCCGAGATCAATATAGTATTTGCATCTCTCTACGACTCCACTACAATCAGTATTGATTTCAACAAAGCGTAAGGACTTCTTTTTTCACGTCTTTAATATTTTTACATTTGACAGAACTTTTGTATTGAGAGTACATTATAGATATGATATCAGAAAATGAAAACGAGGCATAGACATTTGATATGGCCGGGTTATTTGAAGACTGGACATGAGTCTGAATTGATAAGAATTGATCCGAGAATCTTTTGGAATATGTCATTGTAGAAAACACTGGGTGTTTATGTGTTATATTTTATAAGGTGTGAATAAAACTACAGTTGTACAATATTTACGAGCTCAGCCGTTTTTGATTATTATGTAAAGTGCATGTCGCCAATTT